AAGAGACAGACGATGCTCATCTGTACGAAGTCTAACTTCCTGCCGGAAACAAACCGAGGTCGATTGTTTCTACGGGCTGCTTGTAAATATTGCCACATGTGAAAACGTACAGTATCATGGCAGCGAGGGGGTAGCATGAGTATCAAGTGAGCAATTCATTTCTATTCGATTCCTTCATTAAACGCAAAAAGAGACGTGGCGTGATACAGATAAATGACGTAATGATAGCAATACAGTCTGCCTAAAGAGGAGTTGACGTAAACGCTTAGCTTACTTTGAACTGCCATTAATAAATGCTATAATCTATTTTGCCTAAAAGTTTCAAGTGAGCCTTTATTTCTCTCTCTAAAAAATTTCATCTGCATTATCATTCCGAAGGCGACGAGGGTTTCTTGTACCTGTCGCTCCCTCCTACAAAACTCTTCGTTGATTTCAAACTATTGAAAGTTGAAGAATAAAGATAATCCCCCGGGAAGAAGAAGGAAATAAACAAAGAGAACCGGGGTGTTTGTGAAAAGAGCTGTTCATAAATTTTGCTTAGTCAACTACTGGGCACTTTTAAACGCGTAACATAAATTGTCACGTAACAGACGTCTCCAGTAATACGAACTTTCAGCTGGTAACGCCGTTGTTTCACAAAAGAAACAAGTCCATCGATGCCCAATTAGGTTAATGTGAAAGCACGTTAAAAATGATTTGATTCAATCAATTTCCGCCTAATTTGTCAACAGTCGCAGAGCATTTTGGATACATATAGAGATTGATAGAATATTATTGAATCAGACGAATTGTGCGCGTCTAGTTGAAGTCACAAGCTTTAACTTGAGTAACTTGTCAGGAGTCCTCTAGATGATATGAGGACGGAGTAAAAAAACAATAATTAATTTTTCACACCTAAAACACCAGGCCTTCAGAGGTTCGCTGGGAAGGAATCGAGGCTCGACAAAGCGAGTCATATAACGTGTCAATTTAGCCGAGCAGTCCGCTTCCATTCGCCGCTTTTTATCGCACATAAAAAGTCGATGTGGCCTTTCGACAATAAACGAAATTTAATACGATTAATAAGAGAAACAGAATTTCCTATGTAGTCCATCGTATACGTTTGAATTAAAGGTACGCAAGATTTATTTACCGAACTACCTCCTTCTACAGCGACTGACAGTTACCTATCCAAAGTCCCACATGGTAACTAGCTATATAAGAGTATAGCACTACGATCGGTGTTACGAAACCAGCGTAACGTAACTCTAGGTCTACTTGAGTTCTCAACTGCGAAGCCGTAAAGAGCTCATCATTCGCTCTTGATACGTATCATAGTTTTAAAATCCTGATGGTGGCACGTCTAAACCCTAGAGGAAACCCGTTTCAATACGAAGCACCGCGGGGTTTTATTTCAGCGGGAATTTAGCTCGCGTTTTGGTAAATGACCTCCAGCAAAATCGACTGCGAAGCGATGCCAGGTGCTACTCCATGCAAGGAAGGCATCAATGAAAATTGATAAATATTCCAGCACCAGCAAGAAAATGTACCTAGGCTCTTCAAGAAGCCCTTATCTAATGTAATCTCGAAATGAGTGTTGGGAGCTGGCAAAGCTGCCATACAGCTGCTTCCTTGCCGTCACACTGCCTGTCAAACGGCACTGACAGATAGTCGGATTGTAAACCTATCCTAAAGGAAACATTACCGCAATTATACTGCAATGCTGTGCGATATATATATATATATATATATATATATATATATATATATATATATATATACCATGCAATAGTCTTCAGAGAGTTAAGTTTCGTTGAGGAATATCGAATGTGTTTGTGTGTGGATCAATAGACGATCAACAGGAAACGGTAGAAGTAACTGCTATATATCCAAGCGAGCCCTTATATAAAATTATAAGGCGTCGCTGCAAAGTAGAAATTGATTCGTCCTATCATACATATTTTTGATAATGCTTATGATCACAACTTTCCGAGTCCCATATGACTATTGCATAAGTTGCGCAGAAGTAGCTGATTTAAGCCTCTGAATCAGGAAACTTTTAAAAATCACTGCCTGTAATATAATATAACTGTAACTACGATAAGGCCAATAAATGGTCAATATTATTTTATAGGTAGCGCTTGCTCAATTAGGCGAAGCTTACAAATACACGGACCTGCTATAATTAATTTCGGGTTTATAATTTACGAAAGTTGCCTTCAGCGAACAGGGCAGAATGGCGTCATTTAGCTGACTGAATTATGGGCCCATACGTAATGGTTTGCAAATAGACGGTAGCCGCTTAGAAAGTCCACACGTTTATGATTTTGCTGCCAGAGCTCGTGCCCCGTCCGGACAGGCTGACATATGTGGTAGCACTACCCCCTGGGTGTAATCTACTTCCGCAACGAAAAAACTCTATGAAAGCAATATTAGCTTTACTGCGTAACCGAGGGCTGCCCGCCGCAGGCAATCCGTCAATTCTATACGGGGATGGGGGAATACGTGGAACATTGGTACTAGCATCATCATCATCATCGAAACTGTTTTATAATTTCAATAGAAATCTAGTTCGGGCAAAATTCATTCAACTCGGATGTAACACTTCTTTTACCTCTAGACTGACACGCCTGGCAACATGGTCCCCATTATAGCGCAGTGAATAACATGTTTACCCTGCTAAGCATAGGAATACGTCGTAATCTAGGTTCGAGTGAGAGCGTAAACATACTTCGTTTCATGTTGAAAGCCAATCCAGCGACTCAAGTACCGCACATCAAACATTAGAAAAATAATCTTAACTACTTGCTCATCGTATCCCTAGCATCCTTACCGGCGCAATATTTTCGGGCCCAGAAAAAATGTATTGAGTGCCCAACTAAAATTTATAATTACCAGTGACATAAGATAACACAATAGGGAACACTGAAAAACAATACGAATACTAGTTGATAGATCAATTCTCGGAAAGCTCTATACAGGATGAAGCGTTGCTGGGTTATAAGTTTCAAACGTTAGCATCTGACGGCCCCAAGCAACAGTCTAGCGAATCATATACTTAGGGATAGACTTGTATAGGGCCCGTGTTTTAATTTGCCTCCTCTTATATAGGAGGCAAATTAAAAAGGTGTGAAATTACTGCTCGATAATCAATGCCATTATAGTGAAAATTAAAGCTATCACAGTGAAATTATGTTCATCCTTCGGTCGATTTTCTGCATATAATATACCTAATAGGTAGTAATAAAGGTTCGGTATGTTCGAGCGGCGTATCGTAGACCGAAACACGGCTCGCCAATCGAAAAGCCTATACATACTGCAGATACTAGATCACAAGCGGTTTACTTAAGAAAAAAATAGCGACGACTCGAAAGAAGGCATCGCAGACATCCAAAAACCGCAGGTGCGATCTAACAATGGTGTTGCTTATCAACATGTTCACCCTGCGACGATTCATCACGACCAACTTCAGTATCCTACAAACAGTCGTAAAGGCGATAAGTGTCTCCGAAAAGGTGTGCTTAGATCTAAGACGCTGAGCATTTCTCAATTTTAGCTAATTCGTACGCGTTAGATTATGTGGTTGACCATTCAGAGTTTTCTGGAGTTTACCAGTCTGCTGCTGCACTGGTCCGAAGAAGACAGAGCAAACCACGAGTAGGTGGCGCTGATTTCCGTACATGTATTTGCAATATAATAATAACAATCACCATCATCATTCTCTTTTTCCATAACAAAGTTTTAAACCAAAAAAAAAGTGTCTTACCAATAGGCGAAAGATAACCTCTTTGAAAGGTTTTTTTTTTTTTTTTTTACAATACATGAAAATAACGTTCCATCGTAAAAGTGAGTTTGGCTAACTTAATAACATGTACCTCATTGGGCTTTCCAACATAACATCGATTGTGCAAAATTTTAAATGCAACACCATTCGCATACAACTTCAATATGTCGCGTACCTCTTAATAATTTTCTTCCAGGGTGTCAAATATGTTTTACGTGCTTGGCTTCGGGAGACGATAGATCATTTTCTTCTTTTCGTGGCATAATGTTTACATGCAATTTTAAGTTTCAATCAATTACATCTTGGAACTAGCTGAGTGCTCAGGAGCAAATAACATAAGCACGGTGATAGTATAATTGTACTAAGAACAGCGGGATGTTGACGGAGTGGAACCGAACATTTAATAGAAGGTCGCAGGGGCGACTACGTGGAACGCGACAGTAGAAACTCGAAATGTCCGGTGTCGCCGTTAGGCATTCCATAAGACAGATGGCTAGCTTCCAAAACGAAACGAACGGTGTATCTATGCCCCCTTCCAACCTAAGCTTCAACGTGTCACAAATGTAGTAAGCAAATAGGTTGTCCAATCTACCCAGCAATAACTGATACTGGTAAAGCAATTGTAACCGTTCCGGATTCAACATTTTGCTTCAGGCAGAGCAAGTCTACTCTGTTGCGTCGACGAGAAAAAGCGACAAAAACCGCTGTTCGGTAGTGTCTGTTACATAATCTCCTACGCATAGATCGCGCGCGAAAAATGTAGTCCATTGGCCTTCTCGTTTAGGCGGTCAAGTAAGCGGATATTGTGATAACGTTTACTATAGCCCAAATTGAGTAATAATAGCCACTACGCCCCGATGTTAATTATAATTATCGCGTAAAATATTAATTTTCATATTAAAATTAGTGTACATCATTTGGGATTTGTTCGACGAATCCAGCTCATTGAAATCAAATATTAAGCGTTTTTACTGTGTGTTCTTATAAACTACCTGTTCCCCGTGGCTCAAATTATCGTCTTACGAAGTGGCTAGTTCTCTTTCGTGTAAACTTTTATTGTGTAAAAGAAATCGAAGCCTTCGTAGCCACTTCTATAGACAAAGAAATTACAATGATTACTATACCGGACGCTAAAAACAGGAGAAATATAGCCATGAATTACATGAGCAAAATATTTAGGGTGTGGTCGACCAATGTCATTTATTTTGCTATGGCTCTGTAAAAACGAAGAGTCCAAACAAATAGCGTTTAACCCTACAGTAGTGCATCGTCGCGGCGATGGGCGGCAGCGAGAGGAGGACAATGAATCGTGATCAAAAGACCGATAAACCCGCTGATGGAGAAAACAATTCGCCAGATTTAAGCTCATAGTGGAGCGTTTCACAGCCAAGTCTACTATTTTTTGACTACTCTCGGCCTGAATAATAATAATAGGTTAGGACGTCTGAGACAGTAATAGGTGCCTACGACTGGTTGCGCCGGTAAACGCCTGCTCTTTGCTTAATGACTTCTTCCAAGCCCAATATTGGTTCGAATCTATCGCCAGCGACGGGAAGACGTGGGAGAAGTTTACAGCTCATCTAAACTTCTGTATCTAATCTGCGTCCTATGCTATATGCAGCTTTGTTTCCAAGCTAGGTATTCTAGTGCTTCTCCCCCAGTAGCCAAGCTCGTTGTATTAGCGTGGCTCGTAACGGTGGGCCCGTCTCGGATAGAAAGTTTCTCATGGTGTCCGCCATTAGGTTGAAAGGCCTTGGAATGACATATGTCAGGCATGTACGATAGATGGACCCTTGTCCGAACGATCGTTACGGATTGATATAGGAGAAGTTTCTGGATACGTACTTATCAACAGGTTCCCACGTCGAGTCGTTACGGATTGTAGAGCCCAGGCTGTCTAGAGCCGCCACCATGTCGTTCCATCTAGGAGAACAAGGAGGGTACTGAAACGTTTCCGTCTCAGCCTTGATGTTAACTCTCAGGTCAGTTCGGTGGTGGCTTGGTGTGAAGGTTACCGAAGCTCGAAGTTTAGGGGGAAGGGAAGAGGGGGACTGAACGCTTGTATTTCGACATTTGCTTTAGGCGGGCGAGTAGAGTACACAGAGCGCCAAGGTAAGCACGCCCAAGCGTCAACAGGTGTCATCGCAGAAATATTCAGTCCGTATAGATTCGCAAGCCGACTCTTCGAGAAAGAAAGACCAAGCTACAAAAGGCCAGGACACAAAGGTCCTTCGATGGGCCGTGTAGGTACAACTTCAGTCATTTAATTAGTAGTTAAGTTCACCACACCATGTTTGTAATTTAAAAGTACGATTACATACCTTAGAGATTTTATATAAATCATTAAAACGTTTAACATAATACTAACGATATTTTTTTCTGCCTGTATTTCAGCTGTTTTTGCAAGCTAAGCGCAGTGGTGGCAATCTGCCTATTTTCAGTTATTACTCTCATCATTATCGTAGTTACTTGGTTCATGTTTGTCGATGACGATCTCGACGCCTGATTTGATGATGTCCTATTCGAAATGCCCACAAGACAAATCGTTCAGGTAAAAAGATGACTGCTGCTAATAGTTAGAAACGAAAAGCTGCCCTGGCCTAGGGCGCATTTGAATTTGCTACGGGATGCCATGTCCCGATATCATGGAAATTTGTGTCAATCGCATGAAGGCATTGTTAATAACGAAATGCCAAATTTAGCTTTTGCATAAGTAACTTTAATGCCAATTGAGATGTAGCAGAGCAGAGTGGTAATTCTTTTTAAGTTCTCTGCAACTAGGTTAATTAAGAGCATTAGTTCATGGGTATCGTATTTACAGTGTCTGGATCTTACAAGTACGAAGTGTGACACCACTATATTTTACTAACAGATTGCTTATTTTAGTTTACGCAGATAAAACATATCTAATAAGAAATGGAATTCTAGCTTCGATAAACGCGTGAATTACTTTTCATTATAAAGCAATGATGAGGTCTGAGTATCTCATTATTTGACATAACGTGCTGCCAATGAATCCTTTGATAAAGCCCAGACAGCAAACATTTATAAATGCTGTTCCGGTACTTATGAAGTATGCATGCAACCTAAGAATTTTACTTTGTGCCCGCTTCCCTAAGAAGCTTTTTACTTTTGGGATATTTCGCAGCTTCACCTCAATGCTTATTTCTTTATTTACTTAGTAGCCATCAGCATGGCATGGGTCCGGGTCTAGGACTACTAGAGTCCATATCAACGTTTATCTTGTGATAAATTCTGCAGATCACGAGTCTCAGAACTTATGAGCTGCACGGGAATTATCATTCCGAAAGGCCGATTGCAGATCGAGTACGTCCTCACCTTTTGGTGGCTTGATTAACGACAGCATATTCCCATATATTGTAATAACCTCAGGCGCTGTGGAGTTCATATAAATAGAAAGAATAGTATTATTCAGTCACTGTGTGCCAGCTCAGCCTTCATTCGGCTCATGAGAACAGTCGGTGACTTCGTCGCCCAGAAGCTCTTCATACATCAGACATATGCATATATATATATATATATATATCGATGTTCTTGGTGTTATTGTGTAACACCCAGGTAGCAGGACCTTTCGGAAGAACAACAATTCATTACTTTCGTTTATCTCAAAGGTCAGTTTTTTTTTCGATTTAGTTCCTCGTATCCTTACCCTTACAGAGCTGGTGTAAAAAACGTATGAAATTTATAGCTTGGGTACGCACTATATATATATATATATATTGGTTCCCGATCAATATTGGAATCGCAACAGTGTGACAAAGTTATTAAATAGGCCCGATCGTACAATATTAAGTTGGCCTGATAGATTCTTCCAAGGCAATTATCGAGCCGAAATGAATAAAAATATTGAGAAAAACACGTCATCAGTTTAAACACTGAAGGCCTAAGCCAAATGAAGACCTCGTTAAGCTGAGAAAGATATCGACTGTTGGCTTTGTCGGAATTCGTATGAGTTTCTGATAATGGAGGCACGCAGAAACAGAACACATACAGATTTATTATACTCGTCTCGTGGAATGGAGTTAGACTCGAAGTTAGTTTTAGAAAACTAACTTCGAGTAAAACTTATTTGTTGCCTTCGGAAATCCATAGTTGCCAAAAGATTTTGTGCGAACATTGCATCATCATTCAGCGAACTAATCGAACTCATTACCAATAAGCTGATACATGTAAAAAAGCGTGCTCTACTAGCATTGTATTAGATAGAAACAACACTTGTTGAAGTGTTTTATCGTTGTCGTCACCGTAGTGATAATAACTTTCACAAAAGAAACGACGCTTAGAAGCGAGGCCACACCCCGCCGCAAAAACATAGTGACTTCTAGGCATTGTCATATATCATAGAGATAATATCCTCTTCATATTGTAGAGATGGCTTCACGTTTGGTAAGTCGGCCGAGTGCGGACGCAGTCACAAAACAAGCGCAACTTTGATCGATTACATTTATGATTATTCATTCCAGCAGTTACAGAGATAACTGCTTCTAGCTCAATATAAACCGAATAGGTGGTCACAGTGCTGATGTTGCTAACGGTCGCCGGCCTTTTTTTGAGGTCGTCAACCTTCATAGTAGCTTTAGGAGCTGACGAGGAACATTACAATTACAGACAGGCGTGGTTGATTCTAATGACCGCTTTTAGATGATTAAACACGTCAACGTAGTTCGTTGTTTGCTGCCCTCGATATATGAGCTTGCCCTGATCTATGTCGGATCGCTTTACAAAGACGAAAGATTAATGAAGCATAAGGTGGGTATATTTCATCCTGCGAATCTGAATATAGAAGTGAAAGAGCAATGCGTTGTTCGTGCCTTTTATGACTTTTAACCATGGTGCTCATCCATGGATAGTAAACATTTTGCTAATAAATATGCCGTCCGCTCTTGGTGACGGCCAACGATCTATCGACTGATCAACTTCTACTTGGAGAAATTATTGCCAGCGGGCAAATTTGCTACTTCGTGAACGGTTGAGGCAGAAGTGTGCGCGGACGATGGAACGGGCTGCTTCCTTGCACGCGGAATAGTTCTTTGTCGAGCTATGCAGCGCTTGGGCGTACGCCGAAATCTGTCGTTCCGCATTGGCCGCTGACAAAACACGTTCAATGACGACTCTATTTAACGTGAGCGTAGTTTACAGAGCGAAACCAAACAAGTAAGAAATAAATCACTTGGGTAGTTGCTACTCCACCAATTAACTAAGTTACCGTGGTATTAACCGCGTGTCCGGCCGGGCCCCCCCATGACCCCACCACAGTACTTGTGCGAAAGTACGCGCAAATTCTGCAATGAGTATGCACGTTTCTGTCGCAGTATCGGGTGTAGTACTTTAGGGGCCATTAGGAACTTGTCCAGCGAATCAATGAATAACTTGAATCCTGCTAAATGGCTCATGAGAATGTACTGTGGCCGCTTGCTTCTTTTGCGTATATGTAGTACTAAACAGGATTCCGGAAGGCGCTTTTGTACCGGATTGCTTTTTGCAAGATCAGAAAACTGCTCGCTAGCACAAGACTCTCAGCGATTATCCTTTGTTAGTGCGTGAACCATTATTGCCAGCAGGCATTATGGTGGTATCTGTACATGTATATGTATAGCTGCTATTCGATTGCCGTTCGAGATGCACGAAAATGCATATGACGGATACTTAAATACAAGCAAGCGAGCTCGTATTGTATCTATCTTTCTCAGTTTTTAGCATACACTGTTATGTATAGATGGTTCCGAAAGGCGCTCTAGAAAGCAATTCAAAGAAAATTCAGGAAAGCCCGAAACTGTTGTCTCATTCGTATCATGAGAATTAATCAAGTACGAATATTCAATTAGTCTCTATAATATACGCGCACTGAGTCGCTTGCTATTGTTTCGCACTATTTCGATGCTGGAGTTCAAAGTCTCGGACGGCGACGTCAGGCGAAAATCGAACCCCAACAATAAGTAACATGGCGTACCGTTATGTTACTTATAACTTCCTGGCTATAATTATGATAACTTCAAAGCAAGTGTTTAGGAATACAGAAAGGCCGTATGTACGTAAAGAAATACGTATGTGTGTACGATAACGAATCAAAACACTTGAGATTGTGCCCCTGATGATACTACTTACATAGACAGGTGTCATCGACACTATGTAAACTCAAGACAGGGATAGAGCACAAATTTGCGACTGTGTGAAAGTGACTGCGTTATTAAGAGCTCCGACGAAATGGAGAACGCTGTTATTCAATCATCTTAAATAGGAACAAAGGCATCGATAAACAAACAAACATTGAGTGATTGAAACATCCATAATTAATCTAGCTTCTAGTCGAAAAGTGGCTAACACCTGTGGAACAGACAGGCCACAGTGAAAAATATCTTTTCCTATATTTAAACAAGAATCGTTCTTTATAAGATAATCTCACGTACCAGCATTCGTAACATGCGTAGGATAAAGGCCCTTCTAATCATTGTTGTGTGTCCTTATCTCTGAGTTCACATAATCCTCAATTTTCACTGTTGATTAATACGATAAATGGAAACCCATTTAGGAAAGAGATTCTGCTTGATCCGCTTAATACCAGCATCAGTGCCTATTCGTATAATTCTCTGCAGGCTTTATTTCTCCTAAGCAAAATGCACCGATGCATATGTGTGATCGTGTTTACATTCAAACTAGTCTTCTGTGAGAAAGAGAGTAAACAATGTCAGCGCATACAATTTCATCTGCCTATAGATTCATGAAGAGTGTATTTTAGCCCGCCACCTTTTTTAACGTTGTTTCGATCTGATTCGAAATACTCCACGCTTCCTATCGGATCGGAACGTACAATATATCCGGTAACTGGCAACAGCAGCAGTAAGTCGGCAGCTTGCGACGTTGGGTTTTACGGTTGTACGCTCATACACATATTGTGTGGTTAACGCTTAGCATAAAGAGGAGTGCAGTAACAGTAACACACTTTTGAAACGAATCATTCTTCCAAAACGTTCCGGGTCGTCGTGCGGCGTCTTTGTTAGTATTAAGGGCACTGTTTGCAGGAGTGAACCCTACAGACGCGCGTGCCGTAGCAGAAAACCGACAATTACCACGGAGAAGCCAAGACACTGGAACGGGACACAGATTGTTTGGTCTCGATGGCGACGCCGCACGGAGCCGAATATTACAAACTGTGTTGTGACGAGCACCAGGGACAACAACAACAATATAAGGGGAAGTGTGTTGAGCTGATCGGTAGGCTGTTCGAGCAGCTCTCTAACGGTACAAGTCAATCCAATAGTACAGTGTATATGGGTGGATGTGTTCAAATGATACGGAAGAAATAATTTCATAGTCTAATCGTTCTTATTCATTTCTGTCACAATTACCGGGTAAGTAAATTATTTGTGATTTTATTGTATCAATATATTAACCGATTTCTCTCGTTTGTCAGCTTGACAAACAACAACAACAACAACAACAAAAGTCCAACTCAAAAGGGGTGTATAAATGTACGGGGCGTTGATTAAAGGCTTCGATGTTAAACGCCAAATATGCCGCAATTGTGTATGTAAATCCTGCAGGGGCTTGCATGGTTAAACGAGTCGAACATCCGGAAATAAAACATATTTTATCCTTAATCTATTCCGACTGACTTCGAGAAATGTCCACAGAAATTGGCCATCTGAAACAGCTATAATCATTCTCAAAGTTACAATAGTCTTTTTTCATTTATAGACGAGAGTTCTTAGATGTAGGCTTGTTTAGTTGAGGCCTAATAGGCTATTTATTTATAGCGAGCGACAGAGCCCGATCGAACGGGTAGAAAGGGAGCCGTTATACATAATTTTATCATACATACGATACAAACTCTGACCTGAATGTTTCGGGCTTTATATCTGGGGCGAGTGCAATCTTTAGGCATTGCTTCAGATGGATGGTTCCCTCAAGCACGAAGCGAGGTGTCACTACGATCGATTTCGTACCTAGATCATCGCACGTGTCCCTAAAATAAAATTCAGTTGGACACAAACGATTGATTTATTACTACCGGTCGGTCGGTCGATTTCTTTTCCTTAGCGCCCTAGCTAGCCTAGTGTATTACAGCTTTAATTCCGATAAATTGATAGCAGCCAGATCCGAAGGACTGCCCAGGAAACTTGGTTAACTTGAGTACTTCTTAGCAGCACATCGCTGTAGCTATAAGTAAAAACATATTTAGAAATATTCTTGAAAAAGGATTCGGAAGTAAAACTGGAGTAAATGATTCTGAAGGAATCAGCCAAGTAGAACAGGCTACGTTTCAGCTGTTCGGGTTTGCAGTCTGTATGTGTATGCTCTTGTGATAGGTCTTCAGGCCTAATGTATCTGTGATTTACTTGGAGATTTCAGCGCTATGTTTTGGTTTACTATAAATCTAAAAATATGCTACGTGTGATTTTAGGAGAATTATTGTCTTTCTCTTTTGGATACAAAATGACCACTGTGTCGTGATGGAGAGAACCGATAGGACGATGACATCGGCACGCTTGAATATGGACAAATCCGTTTAGGTTAGTCGGTATTTAAGTGAGGACCCGAATAGGTCTGAAGTGAAGCATAAAGGAACGCTTGATAATTAGTGGGTAGCGGCCTTGGCAGAGCCGGTCATGTCAAGGTCTATTCCCATATTCGGGCTGCACGAAATAGGCTTGCCCTTATGCCGCCCGTATTTAAACACTCTTAAAAAAAAAAACGTTTGCCTTGGTTCCAGTCAAAAGCACGATATGGGGTGTGCGAAAACAGTCTTACCGTATCGAAAATAGTTGTTGTTTATGCACAATCCAGCTGCCACGAAATTACCCACACATAGGAAAGATAGGTTTTTTCTTAGGTCGTTTGAGTTGTAATAATTGAAGCACAGTCTGAGTGCTCCTTTAAAGTCGCTAGTGGTGCCGATATATATGTATACACATCAATTACGGTCAGCGGATGGCATACGGCTGTTGTTGCGGAAAGTCGCGTTATACTTAGTCGCCAAATAACAAATAATAAACTGAATAAACAGTTTGGCTAATACATTAACAACAGAAACTATGAAATGATATCACTAACAAATCTCGCACCCAAGTAGACGTTAACGATTTGGGATCGTTGCTATCTGTTCAAATGACTGCGGCGTTGTCCTAGTTCCATGGCGGTAGTTCGGTTAACTTAATTTTTACTTGTTTTATCAGCCATGAACCCAGCATATTATGTACACAGCCTGTCTCATAACAGGGGTATTGACCTAGTGTATATTTGATGGTCGATATGAAGCGGAAGCAGCCTGGCATGTCTGTTGTAAACACAGTGTTTGAAGCAACAGAGAGCATTTTTATCGCCTCGTAGATTTCAGCACCCGTACGAAGTTGATGATGACACGAGTAGTTAACTTCAATACCTTCCTGGCCTCACATGTTTTTATGGAGCTCTAATGTACTGCGCACTCTTCTACTACGATAGGTGACTCAGCGCGGGCCTCGTAGAAGCATACATGACACTGTAAGCTATGGTTTCCTATTTACATGGAGACGATGTTTTGATAACAATACTGCTTTGAGACGCGACGTCTCTGTCGAGTCAGGTACCTAATTCTTCGAAATTGATTCAAGCTTCGAGCTATCCGTCATATACCATGTATATAATATATATGATAACTGAACCATGTATCCGCACGGATTATCGATACATGGTTCGGTTAACGGCTGTCTTACTTGTAATTTAACTTAAGGCTAAAGTCAACTCGCAGCTCTGCAAAGATTACGGCCATACGGCATCTCGCATAAGAGAGATATTCATTTCGCTGACACGGTGTGCTTACAATTAGAAACGGTGCTAAAATTTGCAAAAAAAAAAATGTGCAGTAGGTGACGGTTTTGTAATTAAGCCAACATGCACAGCGTCTCAACACCGTTAAAATTATATCTAAATAAATATAGAATTTTAACAAAATGTGACAAAAGTGTCATTCTTTGTCTGTAGCGTTCATTGCATATAATCGCTATTTAACCCTTGTCAATTCTTAAATTCCCCTTTTTTTATCCGTTGCTAGCAGTATAATAACCACTGTTAAGAACTCGTTAACAACATGCCGTCAAGTACGCTACATACCTAAAAAGTGCAAAGGCTTAAAACGGCCAAAAAATCTGAAAGGTGGAAGTAGGAGTGTGAAGACCCAATTAGCAACTGATACTTGCCTTTCTAAAACAGCTGTTAATTTTTATAGTAAAAATCAGGGTGTATCAAAAATACTTTGTTAAGTCACTTGGTGAATTTTCGAGCCATTTGAACCTAAATTTTATTTGGTTCTATAAAAATCTATCAGAATCATTTCCCGATTATTTCGAAAGCCAAATGGACGAACGTATACCGTCAATTTCGGGAAAAAGGCAGTTTCTAATTTTGATGGGGTCTATCCAGGGCAGGAAGAATGAACCTCTCTCTCTAGCTAATCTCCCTCTAATTCAGAAAATGATATACTGTTTTTTGACCATGATAAATTTGTTGTTCTGTTGTGAAAGTGGCCTTTATCTGATATCAACAATAACGGATGAGCGTATGCCAATTACGACAAACTAACCGCCAACGTTTGCCCCAGTTCAGCTGCTTTACCCCGTATTGTTGTTTCGACTCTGTTTGTACTCCACAAACTGTATTTCCCAGCTATTTGAATTTCGCGCCTAAACCACCTTACATGTTTTTAAGCCTTCAACATTGCTATGGAAATGCGCAGCAGCGGGCCAGTGTGATTAATACTATTGATACTTCTAAAACTGGCCCGGTAGTTGGAGGACTGTTGAAGATTCTTGATACATTTTCACATAAGCTTGTTTGTTCTTCGAGATCTATGCAGCTGGAACAAGAGAAATCCTTTCAACGGAAAATCGGATCGATTGTCGAAGAAGGTATTTCCCTTATAAACAAAGGAAATAACCTGTTCTGTGATTGTTTAATGATCTAACTAACGATTTTAAAGTAATGCTTATGCAATATAATCAAACGACAAAAAATGCTTTCATTCATCGAAAAAATAAATGACGGTGTATATTTGGATCCCGTGTCTCAATAATACTGAATAATTGTAGGAAATTTTGAAGTCAGGAGCACCAAATTAAGTGAGATAAACGTGCATTTATAACACTGACCAATTCTTAATGTCAAAAAAAACTATGACTTATCTAACATTTATTTCAAAGGTGGTTCGCTGTGTATATTGCACTTATCCAAGCTTACTTCACTATGTTTACAAGCTCTGTACAGAACCAACAGTAATAGCTCAAAGTTTTTTTTGCCATCCATCTTTAGAAATAGAACATTTTGTTATATAAACCAAACAGTTACGACATTCTACAGAATGAATGAAAAAAAATAACGATGTTGACGCTTGACCCTCACCAAATAAGAAAATGACACGATAAGGAAAATTCTACCAGGATAATTTTTAGTGTTTTTTTTTTTTTGCCGATTGAACACTGTTTCAATACTTTGTACAGCACATGCATACAACTTTTCAAAATAAAATCAAAGGAAAAAAAGTGTCATATGGCTTATAGTATTGGATCGCCCTAGAGACTTAATCAAATTAGTTCACTCCAGGCAACGCAGATATAACAGATGAGTCCCTTACTAATGATTTCAGATGGTGTGCTGGCTAAAGAGTTTAAACGTTTTCTAAAACAAATTTCCGGAACACAAATCAAAGTAACTATGCAACGACGTAATGGTAGAGCTTCGTCGCATCATCAACTGGTATCGTACGCGCAAAATAGTAACGTTGGTAACTCTTCGATGATGTCAATTATGAACGAAGATGATATTTGCCAGGTCGTCACATGCTACGAAACTTCCTCTCCAGTTGTACCAATTAAGGAAACAGCCTCATATTCATTAATCCCTGGATCTCCTTTGGTGCTGGAAGATCACAGTCACCAAACAGATTACAAGTCACATAGCCGGAAACGATTTGATTTCTTTATTCAGACTACAGGTAACCAGGAGCAGGTTGATATCGCCCGTGAAGAAACTACAAAAATTCTTCGTAGCAACGTTAGTACATAATGTTCTGCTATATGAATTTTATTGTAACTATGAGACGTTTCCACTGTTAAAGCTGATTACGGATAGCGCTATTAAAACAATGTGTAAAGGCCTAAAATATAGCTTTACGATTCTTATGATACGCTTGTTTATGAAGACTGTTAACTTAATTAAACGCGTTAAAACGAAATTGTTCAAAATTATTCTTCTGGTTTCATAAGCCGTAAAGGATTATATAGGACAAGACTTTGAAAGGACGCATTAGCTGGATAAGGGGATCAAAGCAGGTGCAGTAACTGAGTAACGCTCCGCTTCAATGACAAATCGGCCCAGCTTTTATTCGATATGTGGACAAAATCTTATAAATATCATAGTAACTACTTAATATAAAGGTATCAGTAAAATTAAACGGTGGTATGCTGTGTAATCTCTGGCTTAACACCGTTTTCAATGTAGGCCGGCAACGAAAATCGAGTAACTTTGAAGATGGACGTGTCATTCTCAGATCACTCTTTCATCATAGGACGTAAAGGCAAAGGAGTTCAGGGGGCAATGCGAGCCACCGGATGTCAGATCCACTTTCCTGATTCGAACAAGAACGATCGCTGTGAGAAAAGCAACCAAGTAAGCGCCTCATAGTCCGAACGGTAAAGATTGATCGTCGCAAGTTCCACCCGAATTTCTTCCGATAAAACACTGGATTGTACAACTTTTCGCGCACCTCGATGATGTCAATGATCATCCTTTAGCGTTAGTGTAGCCTGTTTCGTACTGCAAATCATTCCATTGTACGTGTCTAATCTAAACGATTGATAAAAGCAGAAGGTGCTGCCTTAGGGAAGTCAAACAAACCTAAATAACTTTTATCAAAATAGTTGCTAGAAGACCACCTCTTTCAAAAAGTAAGGGCAAGTATTATGAACTCAAGGAGAAAATCTTACACAGAGCGCTTTTTCTAACTGTATTGTAGTTTTCATGTCCGTTTCACTTCAAAAAATTAGCCCTTAAGAACGGCTAATTCTTTGAGATAAACAAACTATTTAGATTAGGCTCAACTTAGAACTGCGTATGACGGTTTATGACGCCGTTTGTAAACTATTTGAATAAATAAACCTTTAAGGCGCCTAGACCAACATAAGATCAAAATAAAGCGCCACTAATGTATACTGTCGCAGTGTATACGTGCACAATAGACGAGTTATGTATGGATATTTGACTATTATCGGAGTTGCAGGTGTCCGTGTCTGGCACACCCGAAGCCGTTGTCGAGGCTCGTCAGAGGATTCGCGAGCTACTGCCGATTTCCTTTGCTTTTGAAATCAATGAAGAGGAATATAGGAACGCCACGTTTTCTCCTGTTGCGTCTGATGGAACAGTGTCAGAGCTCAGGCCAAAAATTAGACAAATGATTGAGGTAGGCTTGTAAGGCAAAGTCCAAATCAACTGCATGCAGATGACGTTCCCGAGAACATTGACTGGCATTTCATTGTCAATAATGTATGACCTATCAATCTATTGATTTATAGTTATTCCATTGAAAAAGTAATGAGTGAGTTTAGCACAGAAACTCTGAAGGGTTAGAAGTAATCCTAAATGAGTAAATTATGTACACTGAAAGCTGAGTACAAAATGAGAATTGGTAGTTTTTACAATACATCAATTCGGGCAAATTTGTTTTATTGAATATGCCCTATCGAATAGTGAATAAGTCCAGTAAAAAAAGAATTCATTCTATTTAGGACGCTTGAGTCATTCTCCAACGTATAACCGTTATCTATAAACAGGATTCTTCATTATTATATAGTGCCTCATGTGTACTATAGAACTACTACTATATATAGACTACGAGTATTTATTACAGGTTCCAGAAATTTGATTTAAAACCTACTGCATACTAGCAGCACAACCGGTAACTTAAGGCACCTTAAAATGCTATTAAAACAAACGGAAAGCTCTATTTATGATATGAGTCAATTAATAATCTTTTTTTCTTCGTAGATTTCGGAGAATATAGTATATATATTAGGAATATATTGTCGCTAAACAAAAAGTAGTGTACAAAATATTGCCACTAATGAAAAGCTCATTGAATAATAAATTGTGCAGCGCGGATGAATTCTATCTTCTTTGACTCTTCCAGCAGCTCTGTGCTACCATAAAAAATTAAGAATAGTATGTTGAACATTGCCCCAAATATGAACACACTGCCCTGTTGAAAGCAAACCAAGTTGAGAAGCCAGATACTGTGACAGCAATAAATCACGAATCATTTAAAATGTAGTTAGTTTCATAGAATATTATTCGGACAACGCTAGCTCACTGTTAAAATTTTTCGGCATTAGCAACTACCAACTATTGCTTACAGACCTTACAGAATGAGTACCGAATGACGATTACGTGGCTACCAAACGTCGCTACCAATCGACTACGCGGATATATCCCTTATGCAATGGTCACGGTTCGGGGTGGTCGCAGGAATATTGTACGGATATGCGAGGGCATCCAACAGCTGAATGCCCTTCTGCGTCCTGGAAAGCCTCCGCCCAACGTCGAGTTGGGAATCGAAGTGACGAGTCAGTATGTGCAATTCACGTATGGAAATAACGGCACAAAGATTCAAGCGATCATGGACGAGACACGCACGCAATTCAGCATCGTCGCCGGCAGATCGGACACGTCTCAACATATTTATACCGTGAGGATAGTCGGTAAAGTGGAAAATGTTTACCGTGCATGGCTAGCATTTATGGATCTCTTGCCGGTCGTTGTGCTCATACAGATTCCAGAGTCCAATGGCAAATCTGCTATGTTCGGTCAACGAAAAGATAGTGACGATAGCCGAGTCCCTTTCTCGACTGAGGGTGAAGGTTCTACACAGATGAAATGCATCACAGACGCACAACGAGGTGCATTCAGCTGCGCGTTGACAGAAGATCGGGGCCTTTCCGAAGAAGTGCATTTGAATTTACGGCAACCCAAAAAAACGCTGTCTCTTTCTTTCGACGAGTTGCAGGCACTCCAAAACCTCGGGGTTTTGTCGCCAGAGACGCTAACATCGGCAGTATCTGCACAAAAACCTAATGGTGATATCGAGATTTTGGATCCGGGTGAGTCCAAGCGTAAAAGCTAACAAGAGTAGCGAAATTGTATATTTTTGTGAGAGGATAATCCTTTAATGGATTTTGCATGGGTAAATGCAAACAAAATAACATGTCTATCCCTGCCGATGCATTGGGTCATGTGCATTAGAAAACAACGCATATATCCCGGCTTTCTGCTCACTAATCAATATGATTGAAAATAACAATCCATGCTTCTCCGTGAGCTTCTGCTATATCGACAAGGCATACGTCGAACGGGATCTATCTACAAAAAGAGTTTATCGCGCCATCTTGCCTACCAGCCTCCCTTGTTTGTATAGCTCACGTTTAACGGTACAATATCTATAAAGTGACACTTATTTACTTTGAACAGCAGGTACCTTAAATAGAAATCGAGCAGATCGTATTTTACTAAATCGAAACAAGACCTATCTTATGAGATGAGTTAATATCGACCTTTTAAGAAAATCAACCTTCTTCAATCTTCAAATGAATGCCTTTCTCCAAAATCAACTACATTGGGTCAAACAGCGCGCACCTGAAGTAACGGATGCGTGCCAAACCGATGCTGGCGTGCTAAAATGTCGCTAAATACAATAAGCTGTATTAGCTGTTGAATATGGCAATTTCACACAAATCGGCTTCAAAAATTTTAGGGCTGTATTAATTTACTATTTCATCTCGATCTACAATAACTAACAATCTATACGATTTCTACATTCTTAGTAAAAAAAGGTGTTTAGCTGTGAGCGTATAACATTCATTAAATAAACTAGAACGTGCAACTTATGTAATGCTTGCATAGGCCTGTATCATGCTATCTCACTGGCGGCTGGTTTCACTACGATATTGTACCCGTTTGAGATATCATTGACGGTCCGGCCATCTCGCGACTCGCGGAGCTGGAAGCTGGAGGCTAAAGGCCCTGAAAGTAGGATAGATCTTCTTATGGACGTATATCGAATATTGCGAAATCCCAGCTGTCATGCGCTGGAGTCGCTACGCAACGCGGTCTTCTCAGAAACTAAGAGACCCCTTAAGTAAGTTGGATGAGATTAATGAGCGCATGTAATTGATGCGTTCAGATTCATTGATGATGTTTGAAAACGAACGATAATTATAGAGCAAGACTAGTATTATAGCTGTAAGACGTAGAAATGTGTGAAAAGGCAATTTTCAGTATTTACTAAGCATTATTCGTTCTTATTACGTAAAAACAACAGGAAGCTAACCTAATTTTCTCCTATAGCACTGTCAGAAAAGGAAAACGAAGGGTTAAAACGATAATAAAGTCTCGGAAATTTGTCTTTTGTCCATGGTTCAAAATAGCTTCTCACATGAGGGTACGTTGAACTCGTTGGTCACGACGTCGTCATCTTTAAACCCGTTCGAGCTTTCGAGATTACTATTACCTCAGGCAAACAGTTCTAACGGCATCGAAGAGACGAACCACGTTCCGCAAAAAGGAGACGCCTACGATAGTATTCACAAAAGCCGATCGTATGCCCCACTGACGACTGGCCACGCGCTTACAAGTCTGCACTGCGAACCAAGCTGGTATCTTGGCCAATGTATGTTCTATGTTGGACTCTTTCTATGCTTTTAGTTAAATCAACCCTGTAGTCAAAATCTGTGAAAACTGCAAAGATAATCTATATGCTGTCTCAGTGCACTGTCGTGTTGCCGTGATTTTCATAGAACGCTTTTATGTAGCACATTGCATAACAGACCATTCAATAGGCCATTATAATCTATTTGGTTGCAGACGGGCCACATTCATCCTCTATGTCGTATTCGTCGACTCCTGTTCATTTCAGGCAGCGTTCGGCGATTCCAAACTGGCCTTATGAGCAACAAGACAAAGGTTCTCAGGCTGCCATTGGCAGCTATGGCTTTTACATGAATGGTAGTCATGCCTACAACAATAAGAGTAAATTAGAATATGGCGAAGTTAAAAATGCCACTCAGTCTTTTACCAATCTAACAAATTTTTCCTATACCAATGTAGCTAGCAGAGTCGGCAGCGGCGCCTGAACCGTTGGATCAATCCACTGAAAACAAAAACGTTTTTCAGTCTATTATAAATACTACTGAAATGTGTATGGACGATCCCAAAGTGTGGCCAGCCCTCGATTACTGTTTGGGTGCACATTTTGAGCATTTGTCTATTTAACTGAATGAACACATGGCCATTACCATTAAAATAACATATATTACATAGTATTAACCATTTCGTTATTAATCGATATAGACATGGATATAATTTCTAAAGGCAAGTGCCTCATTATGCCTGATTGACCCTAAGCGAGAACGATCCTAGAAGACAATCATATACCGCGAAGTCACTTAGTAAATGGTCTCGAAAGGCTCTGTGGCGCAGATGAATATATAAAACGCCGTTCATGTAACACATTTGATTTGGTCGCTTAAGAACAAGTTAAGCAACGACTTGTGTAGAAAAATAACCCGTATCGTCTCCATCATATTTACAGGACACGTTTGTGCATGATAGTTTCTATATCTATTATTAATAAAATAGTTGGTGATATTATTGGCAATATTATTCAAAAGGAAGTCGACTTTATTCTCGGAAGCGCGCGACAGGGGAATGGATGTACTACATTAAAAACAAGTAGTCGTTATATATATATATGTATATATATATAACGGGAGCGGTACCTCTGTGCAAATGTTACTTGTTCCGTTACATAGCAATAGCGATGGAAGCACTGAAGATTCCTGGTACGGGCCGTAACACCCGGACGTATGTCCTAACGTACAGCCCACAGCCGTTTGCGCTTTCAACTACTTCTTGACAACAATAAGCCAGAAACGCGGTGATTCCTGGCTGACAGTTGTTCAGGATTTGTCGTAACACGGTCGAACCCTCGTTACGACTCTACGACGCCTGGTCGATCGACTGCGTTTTCTGAGGAACACCGTTACAAACATAGATAGTTCCGCAGCCATCGAGTTATAAAGTCATACTCTTTGTAGCGGCCCCTTTCGCACTCAAAGATACTTTGAACTTGTAGCTTAGCCGACCACTTCGTCCACCCCCCAGTTAACTAATCTCTTAATCTAGACGAACGGTTTGTAGATACTTCGACATAGTTCGCAATATATTCAAAGGATTTGGGCTAGTTCCCTCCGAAAAATGATGTACTCATCGCCTCATTTGGGTAAACCACTCTCATATATTGCTTAGTGATTGGTACTCTTTATTCAATACGTGTATGTATATCTCTATATAATATTTGCTTACAGCAAATTTACCTAGAAAACAGTCAGGCCAGGTATTTGTTATAGCGAATCCTCACTGCAAATGCGATCGCTTTGTATCTCACCGATCCGCCGTTCGTCTTACTGGCATTCCCTAACTATGTGACAAAGGCCCTTTTATAACTCCAGCGACGCGACTGTTTGTCAACGACGGCATAGATCTTTTTATTCGACTCTAATTTCAAATCGATCTATTGTTTAAAGTAAAGGCTTAGCTATTTATCCAGTCAGAGTTGCTCCATTTGGAATCGTTAATGACTTTCTTCAGAACCTTTCGAGGGCATAAATGTATCTTAAGGTATAATTGTACTGCTTCTGTGCCTAGTGCTTTGGAAGTTCTATTGTATATTGCTTAGGCATCAAAGAACGGCTTCACCTATTTTGATTACCCGCGTCTTCTGAATAGTCGGCCTGTAATACCCTCTACCCCTCTGATGCAGATACAAATAGACTGGCACGATATGACGCGAAAATCCTCCATCTTAGTTGTGACTGTATTAGGCGTTCACGTCAGTTAAGAAGTTAATATTAACTGTTTAAGACGAACCTGTGCGACGTCCTGAATAACTTTTCTGTCAGTCAAAGCTACAAAAGATCTCTTCTCATCTATCAATGATGTTCATCCTGCTTTATTTCCGTTTTTTCCAAAACATCCGGCCGCTTTGTATCGGATAATCTCCTATGGTCAAGGGCTGTTTACGTTCAACCTGGTAACTTTTGAATTATTCACTTGGTCTTCAATAGAAATGGTAGTCTCTAGCTCTATCGCCGCAGTATATCAAGTCGAATTATCGTTATTATTTTAGCAGGACAGCAGGTGTGCACCATTATAATTTCGTAACTTGTTTCAAAGCATGCGCCTATTTTCTGATAGAGTCATGTTAGTACAAATTCAATCTTTTTCAAACAAACATTTATATACGAAGCTAGAAGAGATCTTATTTTATCCTGCTTCTAATTGAACTCAAAGGTCCTATAGTGACTAAACAGACCAGGGTCCTCTTCGATATTATGCGGATGGACAATGTAAATAAAAAGACGGACTTATGGCCATTTGTTTAGTATTGTGTACTTGTTTATGATTGCGTTAAAACGACAGGAATTTGTCTGATCTTTCATCGTGCCGGAAGCCGCCGCTAAATAGAAATCAGATACGCTCATTAAATATCCATATATAATAAATATTACAGTTTGAGTTGTATTCCAGCCAAGTAAAGTACATGGCTCGACATCTCTGTGCTATTCTGTATCGGTAGCGCTGTTTGTCGTTCTTAGGATAGCAAGTTCTACTACTGCAGCGTTTAACAATGTCAGTTTTTCTTGTAATCTTTATCGTTTCTTACAGAGTTCAGATAAGCGCGCCTTGTTTGAAATTTGATTTAGCCACTAACGTACCCTCCCAATGTGGGACTTTACGTTGTATGATTTACTTAGTTCGCGTTCTATAGCAATCGCACAAATCTGTAATTATATTTTTGCTACATCAAGAAAAAATGTAGATATCCTTCTCTAGCGTTAGTGCTTTGGTCGGTTTATTTGTAGGAGATCAAGGACAAATGCTTCCTGCTTTTCCCAGGTCCGCCCCAGGCTGCTAGTAGTCCACTGTCTTTTAGTTCAGGAGTCGTTTGTTAGTTACTAGATAAAGCTACAAGGCATAGGCACTCGAGCTCTAAGCCGTGTAGTTTCCATGTGCTCCTCGAGAATACTCGGGAACACTCTAGGCTCTAGCCAGGCGTGAACATATTTCGCAACTATACAGATATCTAAAGTAATGTTTTATAGTGTAACTAGTAAATGCTTTCGATCTTCGGTCCGGTACCGCCGTTAGCTGATCTATCAAACAATTAGCTCCCAACATGAAACGATGTGTTTACGCCCCGATTCGAGCCTAGACCAGCCTTCCTACGGCCTCAGCCGTTGCCAGAAAAAATGCACTCTGTTGATACCTAGCAAATGTATACTTTTTACATTGCCAGGGTCATCTGTTTACTTTTCCTAACAGAAATAGGCGGAGTGATTTTTTCACTCTGAGATTCTGTTTTAATAATTTTAATAGCGTCAATGGTCAAATGTTTACCTGTGAACATCCAAACATCTTATAGATATTTATAAAAAAAGTCATGTTACAGATACACCGAACCTATAATAAAAAATCTGAAATTAACTTTACCCGGCGAGCAAGTTCTCATGTAATGCAGACACATATTTACACCGTCTACGACACAATATGTATCATAGGAAACTTGTTCAGATTACAGCACTTCACATAATCGTCGTTCCTTCCTTAATTCCTCAGGCAATATCGGCTGCCGTCAAAATCTTTTCCGCTTCAGGTTGGGGGCATGAGTACAATACAATTTTCCAGGTTAAGCTACACTATTTCACGATCTCAATGAGGGTAGAAAAGTGACTAAAAAAGATAGCAAAGGCCTGTAGTAAGGAAATGTTCCCGTTGTGTGGGGAAGTTTGACACGAACGATAAATGCCTTTTTACTAGATCAGATGACCCACTCATTCTATATCTCCAAAGTCATATAAAATAATTACGAAATATAGCGAAGAATGGTCATCTATTTACATTGAAATTATGTAATAATTAGAAAAGATTTTTAACTTTACACAACTTTTTTTTGGTATCACTGTTATCAATCAACAGAACAGAACAAATAAACAATTCGGATTTCATAAAAATACTCAAGAATTTAGGTTTTTTTTGGTTATTTGTTGTTTTTTGATCCAGTTAAATAAGATTTGCTTATATATTTTCAAAACGTAAATAAGGCTTTGTTTATAGAGCTTTTACATGCCCCTTCTCTGTTAATCGAGAAGCAGCAAGTATAGCTTAAGTCTTTTTTAAGAAAAAAAACTTCCATCGTACAGCACAAATTCAAGATCTGATATCGATTCTTGAGTGAATATTATGAACTTGGACTGATAGATTCGCATAGACAAGTGCTCAGGTACTTGAGCTGACACCTTCACCAATGATTTGCTTCTAAACTCCCTTTGATTTATTCACTTTGCTAATAGGACTGATCACGCGAGGAATATTTTTCAGCAAGATAAAAATTTAGAACAAACATTTATGTAGTCCGCCACGTCACAATTAAAATTTACTAAGACTTTTTTAATATATAGTGATTAGGTATGTCTTAGCATTTATATTATATATTGACGTGGAACTTGAACACCGTAACAAAGCCAAAAACCAAATCTAGATTAGAAACGGTGATAGCAAGGTTTATCCGTAACTAGCAGGATACTATTCAGCTGTCGGCCATATCGGTTAGCTTACAGGTTAGATAGAGCCGACAATCTACACTCGGTACGATCAGCCACTGAGTCACTCCAGTAAGGATTTTGCAAGGTACGTCGGAAGATGACCCGCCCGGGACATTCGAAGCGGCGTGAGCAGACAACTAGATCAATTTTTCAAGAAGTTAATTTCTTCATCTCTTCGTCGCTCGGCCGTCGGTTCGCTCGCCTAAATTTCGGAACAGACAACCCCTTTTAATTATACTCCCCTTATTTGGTGAGTCGACAAACGCAACAGGGCTTCATTCGGTCGCTAGGCGACGCAATATCATTTTGTTGCTGAATACTTGACCGGTTCAATAGGATAGACATATTTAGTATACTGATGAAATTCTGGGCGGACCTTAAAGGAGTTTCGATAGTGACAAGTTTTAGTCATTACGAAAGAAGACTTTTTCGAACTACTGTATAGCTTTCTGCGTCTACACAAATCGGGCGGGACATGAGGCGGTGGCCCCTTTCAACGAATGGCTAAACTGCTATCTTCAAGTCTAAACCTAATTCTTTTACGGATTAATTGCCGATTGATACCTGATTTGCGCGGCGCTCTGTAGTACTTAGTAATAATATCTTGCACAGTTACTCTGCTTTTTTTACTCTTATTGTTTGAGTATAACAACAGTGAATGCTTATTTTATCATAAACACCACAGGTGATTTCAGCAGACTCAGTATTAAGATTATTCCCCAACTACGCTGGAATCGCTAATTTGGAATTTTTTTCTGTAGCCCCAGTAAAATAGCACCAGCAAACGGGGTTCAGCGACCCTTTCGAACGGCTACCTATCTGCTCAGACATTTTGTAAAGTCGACGGTGGCTTTACCCTTAAAACCAGATGATTCCATCTAAGAACTGATTACGTGGTCTTTCCACGAGATGTTTGCGTACCTCTGTTTGAGCATTTTGAGGCGGTATTTCGTGCTGCACACGACCAACGCTAGCCGGCCGTATCCGGAAAGACAATAATAAGAATACCTTTTGTTATAACAATGTAAGTACATTTAAATCCTTTTTAGTTTCTCGTTTTTCCTTGTATATATAGGCTCTATTCAAATGTTGCCGCGTTTGGTAAAATTTCTGTCCTCAATGAAACATCTGGCGGACAGCGTCATTATTGGTAATGTCAATCCGACAAAGAGCCTAGACTAGACGGACCATCCTGTTATTTCGTCTGTCCGACCGCTTTTCTGTGTAAAACTTGTGTGCGCGATTACCTAATCTAAATATAGCCTTATATAAATATAACAAGACAAAACGCACAAAAATGAAATACATATGGAAACCAATATTGAAATGAATAAGTAGCCAGGCCTTACATCGTCGGTGAAACAGAACATGAAAATATATGATGTCGCAGAGTTTTCCACCACATTTCGCTATTTGTTCTGCCCCCTAAAAATCTCATATACGATACAATCGCCAAACTTATCAAAAACTAGAAAGCTACTTCTATTAAGCACAGCTTTATTTGAAGCGGGCTTGATGTGCGACATTAATGACTCGCAGGCATGAGTGCCATTGAAGTTCTGGCAGTCAGTGCTAAAATAATAGCTCGAATCAATATTACAAAAACAATATAATCGCGACGGATTGATCTTCAAAAGTCTACCCTCAAAATACTCTAGGAAACAAAGTAGGATCAGCGCGCTACTTCCTCATGCCGACAGTACAAATTAAAAAACTTTTGCTTTTTTGGTGGACAAACTGATGGAGCAACCGCAGTTAACTTAGCACGTGGTTAGTTAATTATTCTACACTCGTATATGCAGATTAATAATATACCCGAATAAGAAAAGTGGATGGGATCAGAGCTCGCCTCGAAAAGACTCGTTTAATATGCCTATACTATTAGACTGGAGTGCGTTGATAATTAAAAAAATACTTCGTCTTTTCCAGTTGCCCTTACTTATGGTTTATTTCGGATACACCATTTGAAAGTTCCCTCTGTAATAATAAACAAATAAAATACACTGTAACGACATTGTGTCGTAAGTGCAGTTTCAACTCGAAGGAGTTCTGCGTGGACAACAGTATCCAATATCCTTCGTACTGTGCGTTTCTTTCGAGCTAAAAGGTTACTGAAGCTACCGAGACATAGGTCTTGTACGCGGTAACAACGTTGTCTCTGAAAGGACTGTCTGATAATGCTTTGCCAGGATTCTAAAGGGTAGCCGAGACCTAGAGGATGCCCAACGGTCGACCGCTTGAGTTCGATGACGACGATCTGGAGGGGTTCGACGAAAGGGGGCCGACAAACGACTTGGGAGACGGCCGAAGAAAATTGACTGTAGTCGCCTAACTGTCGTTAACTCCTCAGCTCCTTTGAGATTCCACAAAAATTTGGAGACTGGATACTCGTAGAATCCGACAAAGGGTCACAGCTTAACGCTGCATCCAAATACCTCGTTTGGTATCACGCGTCACGTGGCCGCGTTAGCAATGCTGCATAAAATCGCGATGGGCGAAGGAAAGTGATATCTATATGTCTACATGAACCGGAATGTGTAGTTCAGGACGGAAGCCATGGCCTAGGGTCCAGCCAGATTTTTATCTAAAACGGCTATGCTTTACGTCTGCTAGGATTGCTAGGGCCCGATTCAGTGGGAATTGCTCACTACGAACCAAAGTGTTGATCGGCATACCTATTTGGTCTCGAGTCAATAAAACTTCTTATTCAATAGAAAAGGCCCGACCAACGAGGTCAGATCACATTGTCTTCATTATCAAGACAGCGCGAGGCAAATATCGTCGAAGCTGCTCTCCTGGACATTGAATATGAGGTTTTGTTGTGTATTCTTTGGACCTTGCGCCGACGGATTGTCACTTTTTCGTTCACTCAACAATCGTTGCGGCCTTACCCTCGATACGGAAGAAAATCTAAACCGTAATTGGAAAACTTCTTCGAAAGCAAACCCGCTATCTTGTGGTAGAAGTATGGGAGAAAATCGTGAATAATACTGGGATATACGCAACATAGTAACTCATTATCTCAAAAGGGCAAAGCAGTATCTTCTGTTCAGTGAGAGAATCGCGAAAACTTCCTTTTCGTCTTCATTTCTTCCTTATAACGCGTATATAGAAGGAAAAGCTATAGGAGATGTAAATCAGTGAGCAGAAAATCTTTTCATGCGACACAGCACACATAACGAACTGTCGAAGCAGAGCCAATTTGTTTTGCCCGCGGTTCAATTGTCCGTGACATCAGCTGCTGCCCTCGGGCATTAACAGCAATAAAACTTCGTAACATTTAAGCAAAAAGCAAATAACCACAATGATAATAATATAGCATGCTATGCTCACATTTCAAAGCTCAAAAAACCCCAATGTAACATAACCCATCACGTTCGGTTATAACATCTCGTTATTAAAAGCCCGACTAAAATTAGTGGGCACCGTGGGCGCTACACGTTCACTTGAGCTTCTAGTTCTCTCGTATACGTGTGCCTATCTGCCAGCACTTCTCTTACCCTCGAATGATATAAACCTACTCCACCATTTAAGGTAGTCCAACACGAGCCCACATTCACATACCTATGCCCATTGAAAGGCAGCTGAACTTTAGCCAGCCCAAGATGTAGGACATGCGATCTAATGTAGCAGGAATGATGATGGAACGTGACAGAGTAGCAGACCGTTTTGTATGAATCGGGTTTGAACACTGGAAATATTCACTGTTAACAAAAGCATCGTTGACGCGGGAAAGTGACACCATTTTTCGGCGTACCGCATAAGTAGCCTGGCGCAGGTACGGTTTATGGCAAGAAGTTTCCTCGCGGTTTAGGTATTTGAACCCTGAAGGAGGGCCATCATTTGATTAAGCTGTTACTAGAACTATAAGTACGTCGAACTTGTTTTCAGTTTTCGAATCAATGTAGTGCAGTGACTAATTCATCAATTTGCCAGTGTAACATCTAACGCTTCGTTGAATTAGAGAAGTTGTTGTCGGCACACATTTTGTTTGAATAACTTTTACGGTGATCTTAACCACAGTGGTACCTCTAGTTACCCTAAGCCACCACCGTAGAACCTTGTACCCCACGAGTCTAGCAATCGTGTAAACATATACCCCACCGTCATTTCTTGGAACAACTCGAACTATCACTCGTTATAATAAAACAACAACTCTTTGAAACATAAAAGTACAATGAACAACTTTAATATATTGTCTTTATATGTCTTTAATAATTGTCGCTGCTTCCTTTTATGTTTTATAGATGTATAAAGCCGAGTTACCGCTACGAACAGGATTAGCGCAAGCTGTTTTTCCTTGACTTTTCATAGTTGTTGCGTAAAATATTATCCTTGGAGATTAGAGTTGGATTGGAATGGTCTAAAACTCACAGTAGCTGACAAACGTAACCTATTAAATGAGTTAGAAACGAAGCATAAATCCAGTCTTTACTTAAGTACGATTTTTCCTCTGTACGATAACGCAATTTACGTCAATTAACGCCTTAAGTATTCGTAAACATTAGCTGGTGCTTTATGAAGAGTAGCAAACAGGGGTCTCATATATTAACAGGGCGCGAGATACACTTACACTCTTTGAAATCTTAACCCACCCATTCATATATCGTCATTCGGGCTTTCACCAGGTGAGTTGTCGTCAACCATCGATGATTAGAAAATTCGAGCGGCTTATGAGTTCCATCTTGGATCCACAACGGAGGGAACAGTTCGCTGCATAAAGCTTGGCGTTCGGTAGAAGTTCTATTTTAACAAAAACCTAAAACTGCTATTTCGTATCGTGAAATTCGCCAGAAAAAAGATACGACTCGAAAATTAATCTCGTACAAGAGTTCTCTTGACGGGGAGCGCTGATGGGAGCCGAGCATCTCAACATGGTAATGCTGGCGTTCCTGTATCGTATTGCTTCGCCTCTTTTAAAATATACACCTTTGATCAGATGCAAAAAATGAACAAATTCGTTTTTCCTAATTTCGACCTGCCTTTGTCAGGCTGGGTACAACGGACCTATTTTTGCACCAATTTGTCACTTGTGATGGACAATCGTTGCCCTACAAACAACCACACCGCTAAAGGGACGCAGCCTAAGCAGGAGAACATCAGCTGTACGACCTTATACTGTCTGTTTGGTGGCCTGCTATTGTTGTGCCCTATAGATGTGTTAATCCTGCTTCATCAATTATGACGAACAAGGTTGTAACATGGCGGTGCCAAGTAGCCTGGTACTCATAGGTGGGATTCTCTCTAGATGGCCTTAGGACCTACGAAATGTTATTCAATGCTGAAAAATGTACATTTAAATGAGCACGTATTTATTGAATAGAGGAACTCTGTCGGAAACACTGTCAAATCGATAGGAGAAGTGTAACAAACAAGTAAACTGTTTGCGCCTTGTTAGAATAACTGTTTCTACGTTGATTCCAATATATTAATCAAGAATAGATAATTAACTGTCTATAATTGTATGCAATCATGGCATAACTGTGTTCTCTGAAATAATTGCTTTAGATTGAGTAATTATTACGCTTGTCTCCTAATTTGCTAGAACAAACAATTTAAGGAAATTGGAAAAAAGCTACTTTTTCCAATTTCCTTATTAGAAAAGCTACTAGAGTTGAATTTTAGCACAGGCGCCAGGACAAATCCTATGCAGATCCATTGCCATTGAATACGTTTATTAGGTATATTTATTGTGTTGTCTTTCGTAGTTTCTCTATTTCAGTCATATCTGTAGAATTGCATGGTGGTTACCGTTGAAAAGGACGCCTACATCACCGCTAACATATTTTTGCTGAAGGCGTTTCGCTCATCTTGGTGGATATACAATGGCTTTTAGAATAGTCATAATTTTTTGCTTAACCGACAAGGAACTATAGGAGAGATTCTGTTTCAAATACTATAGATACGTAAATCCTATAAGACAACGTATCGATTCCGATGCTTGTGTACAGACCGCCGTTGCGTGACATGATTTTTCTAACGAAAAGAGAATTAGGTCAGATCTCGTAAGCTCACTCGAGAACGTACATTCTCGGCAAGAGCCGGAGCCGTTCATGCTTCGCGAAGCGCTTAATTTGAAAGATGAATTCATTGATAGTTTTTTAATCATCCTATACGTTGGACACTCATTCGATATTGCAGTAAATAAAATTAAAGGCAACTTAGCTGTAACTGAGTCCAACGTATTATATGCCACTAATAATAACAGCTATTGTGATTTTATTATTATTTTTTTCCTACACTTTTCATTTATCATGCGGACCGGTACATAGCACAATTTCGAATTAACCAGCCTTTCGCATATAGAATGTTGTTTGAATATATATATATAAATATTCTATACTATATATAGGTATAGAAATTTAAATAAGTATATAAATAAAATAAATAAGTCCAAAAGCATTACTGATATTTTATTTAGACATAAATCCCGAAAATTACGTCGAAGAAACTCCAGCGTTAATTTTCACATGTTTGACTGATTACTTTCGAATGTTTGTGTTAGATTGCTTGAACGTAACGAGAACCACAACAGAAACTGAAAACAAAATCGTAGTGATACTTATATTTCTTCGAATTTTCATCCACATGAAAGCAGCCGTTTGTTCAGGGACCGCTTTGGAGATGTCACATGTGACGCTCACGAACAGACTGCCTTGAGCCGTATATATCCTATCGTATATTAATAATATATCCTATCGTATATATTATTAATGACAGAGCATTAATATTACAGAGTTAATTTCTGAGAATTCGATTCGGAGCAAACTGGAACAAGCGATACAGATTTTCGTCCATATTGGAAAAGGTGAGAGGCATCTGGGGTGCATTCAAAGGTGATAAGCTTCGCGGATTTCTGCTCAGCCAACATTACAAACAAAATAACAATTAGGAAAATGCTCATGTATAAGTACGACTAACTCTATTTTGGACCAAACGAACATTTTGAATAGTGGGCCAACACAATTTCTCTGATTGCCGATGTTGAATTCAGAGTACCTTGGGTTTCGCTAGACTAGCGTATAAAATCGAAAGCGTAGTTTCTGTTTTGTGCATTTTCATTTTTCGTCCGGTCTTGTGGACGCACCTTGTAGGCCAAGGTCATAAAATTACTTAGAAGAAGGATAAAAATTTGTAGCTTGAACAATTATGGATCACGACTTAAAAAGAGAGCACGAAATTATTCCTTTAAATGTTTCTGTAATGCCAATAAATAGTGTTTTTGCCGAGCTCTAGCCGCCGTACGCTTCTCTATTCCACATGAATCAGTTATTAATGTTGCTATCCTTTTGTGCAGAGCAAGAGATGATTATAATGGAATACAATGGTATTGTATAAACGTCGTATATATTCAAATTTTTTTTCATTCTCAGATCAACGTGCTCGATCAGAGGATTGCTCAACGACGGGTACCGCATGGTACAGGAGTGACATCTCGTGCGGTCACCACATCTTGTGCGGATACATACAACTCCTGGTCAATAGGACCCCCTGTTACACATATGATGTGATGAAACCCACGTACTGCGACACGTGTTATGTGCCGGCTCGTACAAGGTCTTCGAAACTAGGTAAATCGTGCCGGAGGTAGTGGCCACAGCATAACTTCGTGATCTCTTTTATTGCGTATTTTGGTTAACAGTTTACCCCCATGTACATTATACCACCTCCTGGCGAGAACTTGCTGGGCACGACACCGATTTCTTCCAACGATAACAAGATCTTCGACGTACGGCTACGTTTTTATCTGTCCCGGTGGACTCTGAGCACGAAATAGAAAGTTATTCAGCAGCAGAAAGAATAGCAAAAAACTTAGATTATCATTCTGCGCAACATCTGTATAGAACACATGCCAAGGCTTCGCGCCGCCTTCAGCATGGCCGTCCTTGCAATATGTGCATGGCATACGTGCCAGTTTCTCAATGTATCCAGCACGTCTATGTAGAGGGCAGCATGTGGTAAGCTTGAGAACCATACCATGCCTGGTAGTCTCGTCATAGACGTGCACAGTCAGTATATGATGCGGTATCTGATCGCAAAGCGTCCACCATGATTCACGCGTTGCTTGCAGTCATAAGTGCCTGCACTTTGTTTTCCTAAGAACCAAGCACAAAACTCAAACGAGGGAGTTAAACCTCGCTGCTCGAACGGTAGATGCTTTTAATTTGCCGTAAGCAATAGACTAGCTCTTAAAAACGTTCACGAATCCGATCAAGATACGTTGTTGCCCACAAACATAATGACCCCATAGAACCGCTAAATAGCTGTAACGTAATGCGACAAAGAGTGAATGGTGAAAATAATTTCAAAATGTAACGCAACAGATTTTTTAAATCAAGATTGGCCGTTAGCTTCGATCGTTGGTCGATACTGCCAAGCGATTCCTTCATTTTACGTTACGGAATATCACTTACGGGTTATTTATGAACCAATACGCTTCGTTCAGAGTTAAAAAAAAAAAACTGATATTTTATATAGAACACCTTTTGACATTTTTTCCGAAAATTAATTTGGGGAAGCAACATACGTACCACTTGACAAATTTTATGTGTACCTATAAAAAACTTGTTAAAAGAACTGGTCAAAACGACGTCGGGCTAGTCGTTCTTACCAAGCTGTCTTATAACTGAAAACGTAAGGTGAATCGATTTCTCACCGCCGTCACCTGGAAAGATCAATTGTGGGCCTAGAGCTATGCATTCTATTCTTTTTTCAGTAAGTTAGTATCTATTAATTGGTGCCGCCCTTGGAAAGACATATTAGGTACCGGTACATCAGCAAACTTTCCGCTCAGCTCGATGCGGGCCATGATCGTTATGCTCGTTATAGCTGCTATACGAGCTGTGCTATCTTAGTGCTTTACTTAATCTGAATTCTCTATGGAGTGATTTGAATTAAGCCGTTACAAGCGAATCCGTTGCAGTTTTTGATGGCATTTGACACGTAACACGTTACATGTGAAGTTTTGGCCGATAGAGCTTGCACATTGCAAGCTTTGCTTTCATAAAAAGCCTCCTCGATTGGCAGCGTATCCATGTTTTTTGGAGCCATGTCCTACTGGTTTTCAGCAATTTAGTCCTCTTTTTTGAAACATGCGCAATATTCATGTACTGCGCTTTCACTTAAGGCCCCCTTTAGTAATATCTTTATCAATATTTCGATAAACCTCCGCAATGTTGTGAGCTTCGGGAAACATCTTGAGCATGGCGTATACGTTTACAGTATAACACCTATTATGACATTTGCTACAGGCAAAAACTGCATCACGGGCTCAGAGCGGCTGCTCTCGACAGTACGGCTGGGTGCTGTCGGTGAAATTGGGTAGCGTATAAAAAAGATTATGATCAATTGCCATCAACCTATATGTATTCCCCTACAGTGACCAAATAGTCGGACAGGCAAATAAATCACACACTCAAAGTTGAGGTACTTTGCCGAATTGATTTACTTACTAAAGTACTCTGTCAGCCAGTGAGTATCATTATCTGTACGTTTTAAATTTTACGTTTGGCATCGCCGTTGGCCATTCGAAAATTAGTACCATTATTTATCGGTACGATCAACAACACCACACATTATTCCCCTTTGCCTAACTAGCTACACACGTATAGATAGATACGCAATACATATACACATGCGCCTTAAAAACTGAACAAAAAACGTCAACACTTAGCAAAGAACAGCAAATCTATAAACACGAAAATACAAACCAAGTCTGCTCAACCGGATTAGCAGGTGACCAAATTTGAATTTTGGCGGGCGCTATCTTAGCAGTTCTCTATTTTGGTCAATTACAATCCTACGTAGACGATGGCAATGAAGGTAGTTCTACTCGAGCTGCGTACAGTTCCCACTGATGTAACCAACACTTGAGTGCCAAAGCCGAGCTTACCGCACCCATTAATCGCTGGATGAGCAATTATTACCTGTTGCCTTAATTAAAAACCTTATATCGATCGTACTGTATAGTCCTTAGTGTGCTAACCTAGTTCATAGACAAACAAGCACTGACATATTTGAAAATTCTGGCATTAAATAACATCTCATGCTAACAATCACCCCCTTCGATATGAGATCATAACAGCTCCATTAGCTTTGAGTACGATAGCCTGTTTTTGTTCTTACTTATAGTATAGCTATTATAAAATCATAATATCTAAGAAAGGCCATTAATTAGTGCAGGTTAGTTATAATCGTACCATATATTTTTTGACCTAGTTCGCCCATCTTCGAATTGGGATATTCTTGGACTTATTGTTTAATTGTAATTAAGGTTAATAAGGTTAATTATTGTAATTAATTAATTATTTCTTTCGTTACAGTAGCTGGTAAATTGTAACTGCCTGCAACCCAAGTCAAAATATGATTGGTTTAAGGAGTAAGCACTCATTAAAACATTGCACGCATCCGGTTGTGTGCTAGAGGATACTGAAAGACATGATATGGGCTAGCTTTGTCTCTTTTGTCATGAATATTTGTACATTTCTAGATTATAGAGGCATAGCTGTTAAAAAACGTACTAATTTTCTTAATACAATACTCAACAAATACTAATACACACTCCTAGTTCGTTACGAGGGTCATTGGATCTGGAGGTTCGTGTATACATTACTAAAGGGTCATTAGGAAAGGTCTGGAAGATGAATGATGATGGAACGAGCTCGGACTGCAAGCAAAATTATGATCAGTTCGAAAATGAGACGTCTGCTGAAATGCTTTAGGTCTTCAGCAAAAAAATGCGCTGCGAGCAAGAAGTTGCCAAAAGTTGTTGCTAGAATCGTGCTTAGCTTAACCACCATGATGGTACCAATCTGCGCGCGCTTGTTGCCTGTGGCAACTACAGAGACCGTTTAAAGTTATTTATTTGCCTATGAAGACTTGGCAATAAAAATTAAAATTGTAAATATTGTCTTATCCTGTGAGCTTGTCAATGAATACTTCGGCATTTTTGTTAAAGTTCGATTGGTCTGCCTTGCAATGGCCCAAACAGTGGTGCCACTTAGGAAGCTGACAAGGAAGCCGCAGGATTGAGTCATATGAAGATCGAGATAATTTATTTTACATTAAAATAGTTCTGCTTATTTATCAGCGACTATCGCACGCAGAAAACAAATAGTTATAAATAGCAATCAACTAAAAGGGCATAGCTACATTGGATCTATTCATATCATTTTGCTTTTCAACTACCGAAACATATCTTAAGCATGTTATGACACCATTGTTGATGGTTTTTAATGTTCGACATTCATTTTTGAAACGGAAATAGTTACCGAATTAACGTAGAGTACTTTTTGTATATATCAGCAATAAAACTACCATTTTAAGCGGTTCACGCAGATCATAAATGCTATACAGGGTAAATCACTTATTATATTGGGATTTTGTGATTGTACTAGAATTGTTTTGGGCCATACACCCACATATGGAAAAATCTGGCCGAAAATTTCAATTTTAAAGATATATATCCAAACAAATTTAACTTATAATCGTCGATGCATCAACGTAAACACAACTTTGACATCAACAGTATGCGCCACGATTACTTGAATGTTGTCTGGGGCAGTTGTTACTTCATTTTGCTTAGCTCAACTAGTAACTATTGTATATTGCATTTGTTTAAAAATAACGACAGTAGCATCTGTAGCCTCCCTCAAATCAATGTCATCAGCAACGCATGAAGGATATGCCACACGTCTGGCTCTTGAATTTCCCACTCTATCTCTTTAGTCTTCATCTGTAAATACGGCTTCGTTTTGGGAAAACGCACCTGTCCTTTTCTTAATCCTTACGAAAATCAAGTTCCGGATGATCCGAATTTACACACGACGAGGAACAATATGGGTGCTGTTTCCCACAGTCAACTTGATCACAACAATGCCTCTATGGGTCTCATGGTTAGCCACGATTAGCAAAGATCGCTTTTGTAGGGAATATTCGAAGACCGTCATGAACTGCTTAAGGCAGTCGTCGAATACTTCGTTTGTGATCTATCCAAACGGGTTTGTAAAACTTTAAGTCTACCACAGGTACATTCATTAGCGTGTGTTTCTTGGAGTCAACGATATAAGTAAATAATCATTGTTTCCATTTGCAAACACAAAGACGAAGGATTCCACGTTCTTGCTATTTTTCTTGAACAACGAGTTCATTCAATTTAGGCGCTTTTCGAACACGGATTAGCGTAGGAAGGAACACCTCATTTAACTTAAAGACATGGTCAAACTGTTTGACTCCACCAATGTCTTGAGGTTATTGAAGAAGATTCTGACCGGACCGGTGTTTAAGCTCGTTGCACGTGCAAAGAGTACGTTTTTAAGTTACCACAAAAAAAACTGACCATGCCGTGCTAAGAAAGCCACCACCTAACTTTTCTTATATTCTGGCAGAGATGTCAACAATCCGGTACGTTTGCAATCAGTCCCGTTACAAACCGTACGCAATTAACTTAATTTGGTGCACGGTATAAGCTCGCATGATCCTTGTGCATTGGCTAGGATACAGTGTTGATCCAGTGTCTTCTGAGATACATTCAACGCATGACACGAACTAACATTTGTTGAAGCAAGCTCACTTGGAGTATCGGCCTCTGCGGCTTTTTCCAGTCACTGCACCGCGGTCTTATTCAAACGTTATTCGTTGCCTCCTTAAAGAACAGGTTCCATCGGCAATACGTCTTGGACAGTTCTGGACGACCTTGTGTCCTTGTCAGTCGGCTTCGTACGGACGCATCATTTTGACTCCACTAGCAGATATTCACCTTCTACAAGACAAGGCAAAAGATATGACCTTAGTTAATCCTCCATAAGCAATATCAATAACAAGCATCGAAGAAAAGTGGGTTGTTTTAAGTGGTTTTCTGACGCATAGAATATAGCGCCAATGAACAGTCTGCCATGTTCAAGCTATTTAGGAATGTGACGCACTAAAAAATTTGATACATTTAAAATTATAGATTATAGTATATAATATAAAAAAATTAGCTTGTAGTAGGCGACACTGGGCAGTCTCGAGGGCCTTCTATGAAAACAGAGCTAAATCAATTTGCCGAATAAATCCAAAACACTAAGTACGCGCCAAGAATCTTAAGGAGCGTGACATATGAACTTCTAGCAGGTTGAGAACCTCCTGTGGTCGCCTGCTACATAGAGCTTAGGCCGGATAAATAAGATCCTTCAGCCATATAAAAGTGTCATATACTAATTGCAATATTGCTTCTCCTCGACGTTGCACTACGAAGATATTGGCTACGCAATTTCTTTCAAGACGATCCTAATTATGGCACCTATGCAATCAAACAGCTTAATAGCCACACATAGATCTCCTAACTTTTTTGCACAATTAACTATCGATGACGTTTAAAATTGGCCCAGAGACCTCTAAACCCACCCTAAATGAGCCTTTGTATCGTATGCGACTAGATGGGTCGATACTATTTTGCCTAGTTACACAAGTAAATCAAATTTGGTGATTTGTTCGACATTTTGATTAAGCATAACATTTATATACTCTTCAATCTGTTTTGAATAGTACAGCTTTGGGACAGGCGGAACTGATGGTAATTGAGTTCGTTACCTTGTTTCTTTATCCTGCAACAAATAAAAGCAAAATAATATTTAATTGTCCCGGATAAACAAAAGTTCTGATATATAGTCGAGAAGGGCCTAATAGACTAAACTGCGTACGTCTTTAGATACGTGTGTATCTAAAGACACGAAATATTTTATACTATTTGTTTTTAAAATCAAAGTTTCCATGTCTCAACAAAAGTGTCCTACACAGTCCACCGCGACCCATACGACGCAGATACCAGTCTTTCGAGGCTGAGCCCTTTTCGCCCCGTGTTTCGGCGCCGACGAACTAGTGAGCTACAAGCTGACTCTGCTATCGGCACCGATGACTGTAACGAAGGCAATTTGCCTCGTCGGTCAGGTCTGTGACTTCTGCGTTCCCGATCTCTGCCTTTTTTTTTACCACCAAGCAAAAATCGGGCGAACGAACAGCTGACCGGTCTCAGGGTGTAGCGTGAAGCGTTGGGTCACTTCCACAAGTTTAATTGGGTGTGGGTTCTGTCATTGCAGAACAATTGAGCGGAATTCGACACTTAGCCGGAGCTGGTAGGGTTCATATAATCCAATCGCGTTCGAATTAGCACTTTGTTCTTATTATTTTTGTTGACCGTCATAATATGTACGTTTCATACGCCAAACACTTACCATTGTCACTCAGTGTTTGTTTTCGAGAACCTGCGACCACATAGCAATATGAGACGGTGTAGAAGAGTCCGCTGGCGGAATCCTATAATCTCCCAATTGATGATCGTTTTTTCTTAACTCTCCACTAATATTGAGAAGGGTAGCGAACATTTCGCAGGTTTCTTGCTCGTCCAATGCTATAAATCAGATAGTAGATAATTAACTTTATCTTATATCAATGGCAAATTCTAGACAAAGGCACACTCGCTAAGCTCTCATTAACATTTTCGAAGTACGAAAACATATCCCAAAAGCATCGAATATTATAAATCTGCCATGTCTGATTTGGTCTTTGGGCTATACAAAAGCCAATTGTACGGACTGCAGTGAATATTCACCTCCACAAGGCGCACACCCAGGTTGGCATCCTGAAAAGCGTTGTCGTGTAGCAGCTGGCGTCAACACTGTGAACATACTCGACGGCTTCAAAGAAGCGTTAGCGAACGGGAAACTGCTGAGAGATCAGACGCATTAGACTCAGCTGAAAATCGTGACTTCGGGAAAAAATTATGGATTCGAATGTTGAGACGATGATAGTCTCTTTCCATTTATTGCAGATTTATTAGATGGGAATACTACAGGTAAGAGTAACTACAGTGTTTAAGCCTTTATGCAGCCCTAGAGCTGTGTTGCATAGCTGCAGATTCGTGTGCAGTATGAACTATGTAACATGCACAATCGGCCACAGTAAACGAGCGACCATAGTCAAAAATATAAACATGTATTTTGTTTATTACTATTAATTGGTTATATATGTGCATACGTGGGTGGCGGGTCTGTGGCTTGGAGCGCTCTGCACACCAGCTGCACAGGATTGTGATTGCCTGTATTTGTAATAGCGCGGTGAATCTCCATCAGAAGGTCCAAGTATTTTTCCGGGCCTTTAGCAGCTATCTTCCAATGACGCAAATCCCGAGCAAAACGTAACGTAAGCGATATCTCGTAGCAAGATAAAATCGAATTTAGCGTCGTCGCGATAGTCATTACATAATGAAATCCTGTACACAAAACGTAGAGCCATCAGATACGACAATGGCAAACTGTGGATAACTATCAATATAAATCAGCATTAATAACGAAAGCACAAGGTTTTCTGTCAAAGTGTTTCAGTAATGGAAAAAAAAGACACACTTTATCGATCGTTTTTTACCTGGCGTGTGTTACGTTCTACACGAATCAATCACCAACCTGGAGAACGAACTACAGTGCTTCCATTCTCTTCTACAGCAGAAGAGAGGATCGCTGTCAGTGAATCAGACGAAACGACTCCCATTTCTCGAAGCTGCACTAGCTCATTCAAGGTGACAGGCTCCGTAGGAAACTGTTCCTGACGACTGGTTTCTACACCGTGAGGCAAGTGAGGACATGTTGTGGCCTGACTTGGCAGAGTCTCTCCAATACAGCCTTCTTCACTGGCATGACGACCTTCACCGCGTGCACAGCAGTTATTCGACGTGTTTAGTACGTCAAAACACAATACAACAGGTAGTGAGTCCATGAATGACAACCATGCATGGTAAACGTTATCAATTTCACCAAAGATGCGCACTGTGGGTATATGGTGCGAGGTATCTGACCGGAAACCGCCCACTGTGAGCCGAGTGTTGGTCGCATGCATTAGTGCTTGGGCTTTAGTTTCTTCAGTGCCAAGCACAAAACCCAGATGTTGGGGTGACACCTCGATGCCCAAATGTACGATGGGAGTTGGTTTGTTAGGTAGCAAAAATGCAGCCAACTGCCGGAACCCTTCACGGATTCGCTCAAAATTGGTTCGACGCCCACGAACGGTCACGACCGCGCAAAATTCCTCCATTGGTAGCCAGATTATGGTCATACTAAATTCGTTTTGAAGGGCCTGCAATTATTGCCACATAATCGTGCCGTCCCTAACTATATTGTTTTCAAAAGTTTTATGTAACAGACGCTCGCATGAGAAGGCCAGTTTAGATGATATGATATGATGAAGATTACCGAATAAATATGTACCATTAGAAGTATTTATTATGATTATTGCATAACGCGCTGCTCCGAAATATGACATGCTTTTGGGTTCTTAAAGCAGCCGGATGCTTAAACTACTAATTGTCAGTATACAATAATTAGGGGCAAAAATTAGGGTATCTGTGAATTACCTCAATTCCTTGTTTGAAGCTTGGCTTCAAGTCCAGTGTTCTTCCGTCTGATGACTCAGACCAATCGACAACCTTTCTGTAGTCATCTTGCTCGACTACAAACGCCAAGGAGATCGGGAGCCGTTCACGGATCTTCTGGCGTGCTGCAAGAACACCGGCTGACGGACCCGTTACGGATACCTGCAAGGTTTCGATACATTAAGTTTAGATTGCAGTCAGTATGTAGTTTGTAGATTAATTAACTAATACCACCCTACGTTTCCTTTATGGACACCTTCACTGAAGGAAACTTTAGATTTGCTTACCTGCGACACTTACAATGGATAATATCGCGGGCACAGTATTCTCCAAAAAACGAAACATGTGGACAGACACTAACATAAGTGACTAATATGGGTGATGAGATTTCGAACCCACGATACTTTCGCTTTGAACAGGTACATAGGCAAATCAGCCGCTATTCTATTTCCGACAAACCTTCTTACAAATGAGAGACCTACGAACCTCTGGTTCATTTAGTGCATACCTGGTTGCTCTTTTCAGAATGGTTATTTTTATTTGAATCAGGGAAGTGTACATGGCATCCAGTGGCACGCATTATACTCTGACTTCCTCTACCCATGCGGCCGATGATGAACGAATGATCCGAAAATGACACATCCATTTTGAGCATTACCCGGCTTTCAGTAGGGATCTGCGCAGCAAACAAAAATATGGAGATAAACTATTAACGTTTGAAGGCGTCACAGCGAAATAAATTAAAAAAAAATATAGTATAATTGTCTAAATACCTGAATACCAATGCGTACCATATATGGACCATGCGTTAATTGGCTCTAGCGAGATATCGCCATGCGCCTGGGAAAGATCCGCACCGATTTATGTGTTAGATGCTTTCACGGAATAATTTCTAGCCGCGGGCATATACAGCACAAAAACATCAACTCAGCTCCGTTGTAATGGGTTTTACAGCACTTGACTCTAGTCGAGTCACGGTGGTACGAACCTTATGGCTTTTCTAACTATTAGCACGATGATTTTCAAAATACTTACTCCACTTTGCAGACATTTGTTGAGTTCCTCCCGAACAATATCCACCTGTTCCTGAGTGCCGGAAACCCGAAAAATTACTTGGCGATAGTCAACCCTTCTGCTATCATTAGCCACGATTTCTTCGGGCCTAGCAGCAACGGTCAGAGTTTGTTGCTCGGGGATTGAAAACTGCTGTTGTGAAGAACGACTACTGTAAATTGTTGGCTGTCTAACATCTATTGGCGTTGAATTTGGTGGGAATGTTGTCATCGCAACAAAGCTGGGTGTCGTTGCCGCTTCACAAGATTGCCTCAGTTTACCGGCTTCATTACTGCTAGGTCCTATTGAATAACTTCTCTTGTGGTAGTTGTCACGACAGCTGTTATTGCTGACGTGATTGAATAAACAAGACGATTGGCATAAAACGTTGTTGAAACTTGGCAACACGCCCGCCGAAGAAGATGGTTCAGCTTTGTGAAGGGACGTTGACCGTGGAGTCGACGGCGCTGTTGATGATGATGGTGGTGAAAGATTTCCGACGTTGTTAGTTGAATTAAGGCTCTGGCTAAGGTGATTTTCCTGAAGCCTATTACTAGGATAGGTGTCAACCGGACACGAGTGCAGCGCAGAATAACATTGATTGCTGCGTCGAGTTGAACACTGGTCCAGTATTTCCACTATGAGTCCGCCAGATACACTTTGTAAGTATGAGACTAGCTTTTGGCCAAACTCAGCGTCTGAAAAGCAATATATTAACAGCGGATAAACGGACAAAGTAATGACTACACAATATAACATATGAGATCGTTTCCGGTTTTTTTTTAATTTTGCTATTTTTTTACAATAATTCAATTAATTTTTAATGGTTATTCAGAAAATCATAATTACCATGGAGCTGAAAATCGAATGTTATAACGTTGGTTGCTTGAGCGTTACACAGGAAAATAGTTTGAGCACTTACGAACGTTTGCAATAATAAACAGTCGTTTTTCAGCTATTACTACTAAATCTAGTCATTACTCTATCGAAGATCTGCTCTTCGAAAGCAGTTGCAGCTGCAGTAACAGAACAGCCCTTGATCATTTTGATCGTCATGTCCAGCCAAGACAATCAAGGTGATTATCAGCTGCTTTACGTGAAGAGGATGTCTAAGAGAAATTTTTAAAAAAGGCTTTTTGATACTTGGCCCACTTCCGTTATGAAGTGCTTCACAACCTTCAGCTCTGAAAAGAAATCTCAATGGGCCAATTGATGAGAAGTTAGATAGCGCACTAAAGTTAAGTTAGTATTGTTCGATCAAAATGTAGCCCACCTTCTTTTTCCTTTATGCAGTTGTTTCTGCTGAAGCCAATTCGTCAAGCACTTGAAAGAAACAAGTAGATCCACAAAAACATCAGCAAACCTGCGATTCATTCTCCTTACACTGTGTCAATATGACGTTGTAAAGTAGATGTAAGAATTTGCACACAAGGATTTAGCGTCCTAAGCCAAATGCAATAGACTGCACATAATCGTACAGACGTCAACATATATGCCTTAAGCGGGCACAATTATAGTGGAAATGAGAAAAAAAAAACAACGTTACGTTACTTCTATAAGTTCATCATAAACTGTTTTGTTTGCAACAAAAGGGACTAACAAGCCTCTGCTGGATTCTACCCGTACTCGCGCCGCTGCCTTAGTCTAAGCGAAATTAAAATGCGCCTTTTACGTCAAAGACCGAAACTGATCAAGTGGCCATAACACGAAAGCATTGCAAACTCATGAATAGACGCTGCTCTGAGTAAGCACTATTCATATACTACGTCGACATTGCAAAGCGAACTCCAAATTTAAACTGTTTCTCCTTTAATCTGACACTCGTTATCTTTATCGACCTTCTATACATTCGACCCTTCCAACAGTCTACTTGAAATGTGGTCGTATAGTGTCTAATCTAGTAGTAGCGGTATCGGTACCGTAAAGAGTAGAGCCTAACTTAATTCAGCGTTTTTACTAAAATCATAGATTTGCATGTGTGCGCCACGGCGCAAACAAATAGAAACTGAATAAACAGAACGTCTAAACATCTGCTTGACAAGCATCAAGCGGCTAACGTAGCCTATGTTGTACTGTCGATACGCTGAAATATGTTTCCCAGCCTAGGTAACTTGATATCAGCCCAAAGCACCTCGCCATATTGTCTAGCCACGTGGACTTTGATAAGTATAACGGTCGATGCAACCGTAATGTTATTGAAGCACTGCATCTATCCAAGTAACTAGTTCTGCTTTTCTCAAGTTATTGAAACAATTGAGGAGTGTGGGTCGGCTGAGAAACGCTTTTCGCATCACGTTACTTTCCTGTTGATTGAGAGTCAGGAAATGATGCTGAAGTGGATAAAAGTCCCATTTATCATCTGTCTCGTCTTAGAGCCACTGCTTATATAATGGCTATCTGTGCAAAAAAGTTTCCTCTTCTCATGTACAAATAAACTCAGCCGCGATCCATACCTCGATAGCAATCCATGCACGATACCTCGGATTATCTATGATAAGCACAGTTTACTTATACTAAAAAGACCCGAAAGAAAGATTTAAAGACAATTTTAAATAACCTAGTAGCTGGTGGCAAACGGAGTCGGCAATTCTATATTTAGAAAAGAATCTCGTTCTTGTCGAAAATGATGTAGAAGAGGCATGCTTACAATAGAAAAAGTCTCCACTTTCTAATTGGTCTGCCTGAAGGAATCAAGGTAGTTTTTGTTTTCTCGTTTATACACACCTGTTGTAGCCTTGTCCTGCTGTAGATTTCCCACAGCATGAAAAGGCTACCTACAACTACTTTCTTTCCTGGACCAACTCTCGACATGCTGTACTTTATGGTAAAAGATATCTGTGAAAATGCCTTGCGCAAACGCCTAGATCCGAACGCTCGACTTGAGTTAGGTTATTAAAACAACATCATCGCTGCTGCCTCAGTCATCACTATTGGTAAATCTGAAGAACTGATCCGGTCTTAATTTATTCGAACTAATCTCATCCCAAACCATTAGTAGGCTTAAGTGTTATTATGACATTTGCGCAGACAAAGTACGCGCGCGGACTCTGTAACAGAGCCTACGGAGACTGGAAAGTCGGAAGTGTAAAGGCACTTCAGTCCTAGGGTTGGCCAGGAAAAAGATGATAACGGTGTTATTAACCAGTTGCATAATAACTAATTCTTCTAACAGTGTTCTATGCGAAGCAGTATTAGAGTGAAGTAGTCTTCCACATACCATTTGCGAATTGGCTATGAAACTTTCGAGGAATGTTGATCTCTTCAATGACCAGCTGACCCGGGTCGGTCCTCCTCGCCATCTTTCAATGACGATGTTAATAACGATGCTTAGAGGAAACGGATATTAAGTCACTTCGGACTAAAGATGATTTGTCAGTCTAGAGCATCTTGCGACATGAACATCGTAACAAAGGCCAGCTTGCTGCGCTACGTTTTCCTTTTGTTCTAGTATTTGCATTGACTCCGTTGAGTTGTATTAGTCTGACAGCAAGTTTCTTTAGCAGCTACGGTGGCGCCACGATGTGCGTGCATAAATATCAACTACGAATTGACCCTCTCTCCTTTGTAGGACCGCCTTATTACTTTTTACAAAATAAACAATACAAAGAACTAGAACGCGTATGAAATCCAAACGACTGCTCTTAAGTTTAAATCTATGGCGGGAAACATCGTCTCACTGACAAAGTTGATTAGGCGCAGCAAAGCTGCCATGCAGATCCAGTAGACTATACCTCGTCGAAAAACATCGATATGTGGTAAAGATAGTTGAAGTGACCGTCATTTCCTAAGATTCAAATAAAGTAAAAATCTCGACCGTATATACAAGGCTAAACGTAGCGAGAATGTTTCTCCTAATCATTACCGTATACACAATATATGCTTAAGATGATAAATAAGTACTCGAACTGGAAACATGAAGCAATTTCTTTGTATTATTTTTATTATTGTAATATAGTTGGGGGGTTCATATGGTAACAGGCCGTTTTCGAAATTATCGACGCTGATTATAGATGCTTCTAAATGACGACGTCTTCTGGGTTATAGTAGACGCATTCTCGTGTGCAATTCTGAATGAAATATGTCTCAAGTATTCATACTAAAACATTCTGAAATAGAATTATACGAGACTCAAGCATACTTTGTTATGATGATGTGATTGATAAATTCTTGGCAACAGAGCGTCCTTACCTACATGTCATCACAGGGACCTGTACAAAAACTAATTGCGCTAAAATTCTGGGCTAATAGGTTTAGAAAATGATCGCACACTATTTGAAACAACCACGTTCAATTGTATTTAATGCCTTTTCGAAATTTACAGTACGATGCCTTTCGGAGTAACGCGTCCGTGGCACTCTGCACACGGACACGAAATTGTCGTTTGTCGTGTTGTTCGTGACGTCGTCATATCGAAATTCGCCAGGTACACATCACTGCTTGTGGGAAACGAAGTGACCTCGACGACGGCCTGGAAGATTACTGGAGCCGTCCCGATGCATGTTACTGTGTAGGCATAGTGTAACGCAATTGTGTTGGAGGACAATTAGAGGAAGGACGATTGCGTTCTCGCTTGTCGATAGGTTGGTTGGTTGGTCCGACCCAAGTTTTGTGGGTATCGACATAAGTAGCAGCCACTTAAAAATTTATTTGGAGCGCTTGTCTGGCCGTGCTGCTTTCTACAATAAAACCACTCAGACACCCAAGATAGAGGGAACGCTCGCTGTCGGTAAGCGTTGATTGATAAGCTACTTTTCGTAAAACGTCATGATCCAAAGCCAAACAGGCGCTTTATACGAAACCGGTTTATCATACTAGCCTTTCTATCGCGACGACTGGCACCGTAACATCGTTAAAAATATGTGCAATGATTTGATTTACCTTCTTTGTTTTTCTAGAGGGGAAAGATACTCGTAATAATTGTTGCTACATTGATTGCAATTTTATGCAAAATCCAAACATGACACCCCATCAGAAATGTTATCAGGCCAAATTAACAAAAAGAAAATAAGTACCTTAGCACTGTTCGGCCAATATTTAGGTCAATTCGTTGTCTATATTGTTTCTATTTTCTACAGTTAATCTATCAAGTAAAAAGCGGGTAGATTAATTTTGCATAGAGCAAATTTTTGGTCTTTTTGGCTTCTTCATTGAAACTTCTGGCATTTTTCAGTAAATTAAAAAAAAAAATGCCGAAATATCTTTCGCCGTGTCAACTTAGTTTCGTTACGGGCATTTCTAAAAATTGACCTAAATGGCTTAACCACTGCCAGAACAAATTTTTATTTCATTGTCACATGTGTATGAAAGAAGTAAATGTTTATCAGTGTTTATGTATAAGAACGTGTCGCCACAGCTCGTACAGATCTGTCGATTGATACTCGTACAAGGGACCATATGCGACGTGCGGGGCATTTTCCACCTTTTCTTACGTGTAAATTTAAGACGTGCTTCAGTTCAGCTCTACGCGACCTTCTCACCAATATTGAGAACAATCTTTCCATATGGTCTATTTTGTTAGGTTTTGCTGAATTAATTTCTTACCTATGCTACTATCTAATTATATATATATATATATATATAATAATCATAGGCTTATCTTATCAACTTCGAACTTCATGGGAACTTTATTAGGTGTTTCATATTATACCATCTGTCTCACACTTATTTCATATGATGTTTTTACGATACGGAACCACCGTATTTTCTTTACTATTGGGATCTTTAAATTACCAAAGTTGGACATGTTAGCTTAGTAATTTTATTCCGACGCGCTACCTGTTTCGCTATTAAACACATTTTATTTGAAACAAAAACAGTGCCGAACATGAGCGCAGTTGTCAACGAGCCAATCGTAGTTTTCATAATACCTGCGCGGCACTGCTGGCTGCCTTAATGTTTATAAAAGGGGGAATCAAGAAATCCCCCGGTAAAAGTATTTAATTTTCCGCGCAGATTTTTCCAGGACGAAATTCTAGTGACCCGACAAACACAGCCCAATTCGTCCCTTTTTTTTGGTCCTAAACTTAGATTTTTACTAGTATGTAAATTGTCCGTACGATTATATGAACGTCATTTATACCGTACATTCAGTAATGTTGTACAAAAACAAAGAATTGTTTGACGTCGTAAAATAAAAAAATAACATCTGAACTGTCACACCTATTACCAAAAATCACCAGCTCGATTTGGAGAAATTAACGATTATAAAATTATAGCTTTTACGGATCTGGGTTTGTTCTGTACAACAAACCGCGCGGTAGCATGAGACCTGTACTGATACTGTCTTGGTAGTACGCCTAGGTACCGTAGCCGAAATTCGGTAGCAGGTGGATAAAGCAGTACTAATACCCTTTCAGGCATGGCGACCCAATTTGCGGCCCAGGTTACTCTTGCACAATCGAAATTTAAGTGATTGAGATAGCGTGGGATCGATTTATTCACAAAAGTGTTTTGTGAAACATCTCGTCGTCAGCATCGTCTTGTCGGTACGATCAATAATAACATAGTTTATTCTACTTGATAGAGTTAGACGCGAAGAGATTCGCCTCACATACACACAGCTACGCGCTAAAAATTAGCAAAAAACCTCATGAAATCGGTTGATTGATGAAAAAAGCCTGTACAATTAATTACCGAAGAGGTGTGTTGACAGACAAATGTGTTGTCGTCCATTATTGCCGTGAAAGATTCCGTCAGATAGATAATGTGCCGGTAGACTACCCTTACCGATTGATACCTACGTATATAACTCAAAACCAAGTACTACTTGGCTTAATTCAATCGTCAAGGCATCTGGCGCCTACAGGCTTTTCTAGCTGCGGAAAGCATCATGCAACAATGACATTTGAGGTATAAAACGTGTAGTACATCGACGTTTCCCCTCAAACGTTCCGATCTGTGTGCATCTGTTGTTTGGTGCAGTGTGCGGTTGTTATATATTGTAGATCAGCTGATCGTAAAATATTGAGGGGGAGCTCTTGGTTACGGTGTCCATTGGTCACTAGATGAGTAAGGAAGAAAGTAGCTTCCATACGTAGCTTTCGTAAATGTTACAGATGATAGGTTTACCTGTGTTTACGTACCCAAAGCGATCCATGACTAAGTAGCATCTCACGCTAACAGTTGCCTCTAAAACATGTTGGGTAGTACTAACGGCTCCATAAACTTAGGTTCAGCACTATAACGAGGCCTGTATTAAACCAGCTATTTGCCATTGAGTTATTACTGCAAAAATCTACGAAATTAAAAATTCTTTGCATTCATAGTAGCGTACTGAGAAATCTATTTCGAATGTAGTTCTTGGATTAGACCCTAAGAGCATGTAGTGGTGCATATAATTTACAATATATGTAATACTTTGTGAAGTTAAAAACCGCATTGTCCTTTAAAAGCACCGTCCTGTAATTATTAGGAAAAATAGCCGACGTTCTATAGTGGAGCTCCTTTAAGCATTTACGATCACGTTATAAAGAATTTATACCACCACAAGAAACAGAATTACTCATCTTTCGTATAAAAATTAGTTTTACATCATGTTTTTTAATTTGAATCTTTACCGAGGCAGTGAAATTCATCTAGTGATAGCACAATAAAATCTGCGGTTTTTTTAGCTCGTCATAATGCTCATGCTGAACAAGGTTGCATTTCCGTTTCTCAAACACTGATCAAATATATGTACCTATATGACAAGAATTATATATATTCTTAATTTCCTTACCCCTTTCAACCTTCACGCTGCAGAGGTAGCAGAAGGAAAATACGAAATAGTTGTTTTATGTATCAAATGGTAAAACAAGTTGATTTAGAATCACTAGATCGTCCAGAAATCTTTTTACTCTAGTGGAAGTTACTTGCTTGCGAATAATGTTTCAGATAGTGTCCTATCTATAGAAAGCCATGCGATGCAAGCGAGTAGTACTCACGAGGAAGCGCTATAATGAGCTGGCCATCATCCAGGCAAAGTCTGCGTATAGCTGTACAATTTGAAATTTAGAACCCGATATCACCTTCCGCTAATCGTGCACAAAAATCATAGTATTGAGATTAGTATAGGACAAGCATATTCTTAGATTATAAAAATGTTTTTTTAATAAACAATTAAAAAACAAACAAAAAAATACTTTGCGTCGAAGTGTCTAGTGTTCTTTCATCGACTGATCCAGACATCAACGATCAGTAATCATCGTGCTTCACTACAAATGCTAAAAAGACTGGAGACGCGAATGCTTTGGTGCGTCGTGCAGAGACAACCCGTGGGCCTGTTATATATATTTGCAGAAGATCGGCAGATAGGCTCAAGTCTCAGCGAACGTGTACCTTAACAGATAATTTCACTGTATGTTTTCTTGTAGATACTTCACTAGAAGAAAAATTTAGGCCTTTCATAAACTTGCAACAACACCTTCAAGGATTCTTACGCAATGCGCCACAATATCGACTAAACGATTCGAAGGGGCACTATTAGAAGCATCTATCGAAGCTGGGGTATTTGAATCATATGCGATTATAAACTTAGTTTGCCAGGACGTAAAAGCTGCTTCATTTCTTAGGAGGAACTTAGCTTACGAGAAAGAAAACTATGAACTATGAACTATGAAACTATGTAGGAGAGTCTACATGGCACCCAGTAACACGATGTATGATGTAACGATGACCCGAGAATAAGCTTTGCATTGTAAACACTATCTGATAGACGCTAGCGAATTGGCGTTTTTGAGGCAAAACACGGCGCAAGTTAGCAGAACATCAGCAAAGAGTAATGAACTTCGTGAAATATATAAACACACCCTGGAAGAAGACAATACCAATGGTGCTATCGCACCATCTTATTGAAGTCTAGATAGCACAAATGCTAATTACAATTTGTTGTGTTAGATAAGTTTTCTAGTCAGGACACTAAAGTTTATTACCAGTCACTGCCATTCTATTTGGCTCCCAGACAACACCTGCTTGTACCCAGGTGTCAAAGCCCGCCGACTTTCTTGCTAAGAATACCTGTCATTCGTTTAGCGTGGAATCGGCTAGCGGCGAATGCCAGGATCTGTGTCCTGGGATCGGAAGCCGATGTTGTTTTTGATGCATCTGACATTGTACGAGTTGATAATCTCTTACCTCTTACTGTCGGCACTATGATTGACAATGACTGCTGGCCAAGTGCTTTTGCAGTAACTGTTAGTAACGTTGTTCGGTGAGGAAAGCGGTTGCCATGAGATAATTTACCAGGCTGTATCAGGAATGTTAGGAATTGAAATTAGTGCCGCTGTTGATGCTGGCGTCGTCGGCAGAGAAATAGGATAATTTTCGTCGATGTCAATGTAGCTGACGCTGGCTGATCTTCACGTTGCTGTTATAGTTATGATTAGTCAAGATATATTGGCAGGGTGAGAGCCAAATAGACGCAAGGTTTTGTGATGAACTGGCATGTTGACGTGGCTCTGTGAGATATGGAACCACCTTCTGGTTCCACCAAATTCAGCTTTAGGAATGAAGATACGTGAACAATAGGGGGAAAAAAGCGATAACAACAAGATCATATGTAGCTAACTGACGTAAACTCTTTACGCTTTGACAGCTATAGGCTTAGTTTTTGATCAATAAAACGAAGATTTCTAGCAGATCTAAAATTATATACGACTTCCGGCGGCCTTAAAATCTAATGGAACAGTGCTATGGAACCAGTGAAATCTACCTAATAGCGACGTAGTGTGCCCCTTTACAATTGCAGCATTATCGTTAGCATTTTTGCTCGTATAAGGGCGTCGTCTGTGCCAGGCTTCGATGATTCGTGTGTATCAGAGCAAGGCTCTCACATACGTACTTAAGCTCATGACTTCATCTGTAAAAGTAGAAGAAACATGTTTCTCTTCAATTCAGATCCAAATATACGATTGACGTAAAACCGGCTTAAGGCAATCAGTTTTGCTACCGTCCGCTTTATCGCGACGCTTCAATAATTTCTTGCTCTTATTTATTATTCAAGAAAGACATACGACAATGCCCATTTTTTAATTTATGACTATTAACGAATTACAGGGAAATTAATTTAGTAATTCATGAGGTAATCTAATGGAACAAGGAAAATGCCAATAGACCTACAGCTTTTTTCCTAAGATACGCATCTATAGAATCGGCATATTTATTGATTAAAGTTGACCGGCACTTAGTGAAATCATGATCTAATGTGCAACGTTATGATACTACGAAGTATCTCACATAACGACTCCTTCGTAGAGTCTAGATAAATGATGTTTTAACGCACGCACATCTTCATTGGAAACACAAAAGCAAAAGATAGAAATGACTGTTATTTTGCTGCTGTTATAGTCAGTTCTCTGATTTTATATTGTATTTAATATTGTTTTTAATCTACAGTGTCAGTGCAGAAGATCGCGTGGTATAATATCCCGGCTAGAGCCGCACAAATTTGACCTTTTTAGTATAAGAAAAATCTCTGTAGATTTTGAGTAAAAACGATAATACTAATTATATTTAATGACCTAAAAAGCTGAAGCGAAAAAAAGGTAAGTGAAGGTATTGAAGTCTATACGGTACTGATAAAAAATTTTTGAATTATACGAGGTTCTCTTCGGTAAGTGATGTTTCTTATTAAGACGTTAGCAACAAAATTGGATTTAATAATAATCCTCAGCTTCCTCTAAAAATACTTTACTATCGCTAAGCGGAAGTTGTAGCGATAATTTGCTAAAAAAATGAAAAGGTAATGGTTACACGGATGATACTAGGCAAAGCAAATATCTCGGATCATTTCAAATAAGCACAATCAATAAGAAGGTGATCCATTTAAGAACCCTTACAAATTGTATATGATGATATAAACTATAGTGCAGAACTTACGCCTATATCGAGAGTTTTTGTCGTACGCGAATTAGTATGTTCCCTAATTTATTAACGTAAATAAATCATATGTAGTTTTCATGGATAAATGTGACGACACGATTTTGTCTTAATCCCGATGGGAATTTCAACTCCTGAAGTAATCCCAAAACGACAGAAATCTTGTGCGTGTCATTAGGGAACTCGGAAAAACAAACATTTCGCAGAATCTTGGTGCGTTTGACAATAAACGGAGCGACTCTTGTCGCCATCTTTGACCTTAAGAACGGTTCTGAAGGGAAACAGTGAATAGGTAGGTTATCGAAGTTCCGTCTTCCAATATGACTACACGCTATGTTCTAGTAATTATGTTCTATCTATCTAATAATCTTATAACTTTAGTAACTGAGGTTGCGTACCGTCGCATGAGTTCCGTGAGCAGGTTAAGTGGCTGCACACTACATAAACATGATTTAATGAATATCTCTGCGTTTTTGTGAGATCGCCCTTTCACAGAGGTAGCCATTAGCAATTCTCAGTGTTATGTATTTAAGCTAGCAGCGAAGCTGAAAGATGGCTACAGAAAGTTATTGAACGAGAGAAAAAAAGAGCCTTGCCATGTCCATTTTCTCGCTATCATATTCATAGATGATATAGAACTTCATAGACTTCCATAATAAGTGAAGTCCGTTGTTCCCACTCGGCACCGTTGTTAGCGCCATTTCCAAAACCGATGTGTTGAACAAAACATTCCACAAAATTCCAAGATCAACTGAAAAATTTATTTTTGTTTTTAGCTTCCAGCTATTCCAAGAGTTCAATGTTAAATGAATGTTCGTCTTGTCGAAGTTATTATGAATTAGCGGTAAGAAACTTTGTCAATTGTATAACAGGACAAGATTATGTTGTGATGTACATCCGAAAACACTGCAAGATATTTTTACAGGACTGTAACAAACCCCTTTGATGGTCCAACAGACATGATGTATGTTACCACCTCGATGTGTGTAATTTGTGACGTTTCGAAGTGGATTCCGGTATCAATTTTGGTACAAAAAAAAATTAGCCTAAAATTGCTTTGACAAATAAAACTTTTTATGTTTCTCAATTACGTAACGCCGTCTAAAAACTGTCATAAGACTGTTGTCTTTCGAAACGAATTAAGGTGCTGATTAGTGCAGAGGTGTGGCGCTAGTTACCCAGCTGATCATTACATCATTTTAGTCCAACTTGATCATTACACACTGTCTATTAAAAGTGAACAAAGTGACTTTGATTGCCGAGAGAAGGATCTTAATCGTCTCGATGCATAGTACTCTGTAAGCCTCACGCAAGAACATTGTGCAGAAAGACCTGCTACAGAAGGGATATCGCAATTCAGATCTGACGGTAGGTGGGTTACCCTGATCTAAGACTTAGGGCCACAACGTATCTGTGAAAATGTTTGGCCCGAGTGTGGGGCCACTTATTTATTTATTGTTAACATAATAGCGATCAGGTGAGAACACCTAAGCTAGGTGTCAGCCTGTGCTGTATTTGACGTAATAAAACGAGCGTTCAGCTACGAATATCTGGTAGAAGCGAAATACGCTATCTGTGAGTGCTGGTTTGCAACGAGTGTACAACTGAAGTTTTGCACCAAAGGGAACGATGGCTGGCTCTGATAGTCTTAATATCGTCAGTTTGCCTTAAACCTATATTTTACGAAAGATAACGATTTGAGTGAACGTTTGTTGGCATTTTAGTAGTTTACGTAGCATTTACGTAGCAATCTACGTTAAACTCATGGATATTGCTTTCGTGTATCTCTCAAGATCGTCGGACTCACAGACGTGGTGTTTAGTGGTTACGGAATTTTTTTCAGACCAAGTGGCTGTTGCCAGGATTATGTCTCGTCTCGAACGAAATTTCTTTGCGCCGGAGGTACGGGAGCCACGTCACGTATCGTTCCATCCGTCTCGTAGTAATGGGAATATGACTGACATTAGCTGCCTCTCGACATCTGCGTATCTACTACAGTACCACATGGAACACAGAGATTACTTTAGTCGAACGGCGTCAGCTAATCCACATAAAATGGACCTTAGTTTTGACGAGCCAAGCAAACCCTTGCGCAACGTAAGACAGCGGAAAGAAAAATAAGTTTAATTTTCGATGAAATTATGTTGGGAAAGATGAAATTGATTTCTCGTAGATGGAAGTTGTAAAAGGGTTTAGTTTAGAGAGCGGTGATTTTATCATGGATCTTTACATTTGCCTAAAATACATAAATCTCTCGTGACCTCGAACCTTATGCAAAAGTGTTCGCAGTGTAACGCATTAATGGTTAATGTGAATGATCGAAGTTAACAAACGGTTAATTTAGTAAATATCATTGATTAAACTGAATCAGATGTGTGTTTTAGACAATGTTATGAAGCTCGAGTGTATGCGAATCTTGTTTTTATACCGCATGTCTCCAATACAGCAGGGAGTCTCCGGGGAACGGGTGACCCTGAAGATGGACGTCTCGTTTTCTGATCATTCATTCATTATTGGCCGTGGTGGCAAAGGAATACAAGGGGTAATGCGAGAAACTGGCTGCCACATACATTTTCCTGACTCCAACAGAAATCACCGCTCTGAAAAAAGTAACCAGGTACGAATGTGCTATATTTCAAAATATTATTAAATAGAACAAGAAAATGCTGGGTTAATTAAGAATTTGTATCCGGAACATGTTTTCTAGGCCAAGTGCAAAAATGGCACTTGTGCCCTTAACCTGGAACCGGACGTCGTACGCATGATGAAAGGACGGATTCATTAGAAACCTGTTTCGCTGTTATTAGGATTTAACTTTATTTATTTAAGTGGGTATTTCGTTCGTTTAGGCATCTAAGTAACGATTCCGATGTTAATAGAAAAGGCTTTTTAAAAGAATTTAGGTAATTTTAGTCGTACTTTTGATACCCTCGGAACCACTGAAAGATTCTATCAGGACAAGGGAACTTCAATGAGCTATTTCTTTGCGCCAGATGAGGACATGAAAACCTTTTTATTTAGGTGTCTGTAGCGGGACCACCTGCTGGCGTAGTTGCAGCTCGACAGAGAATTCGCGAGCATCTGCCGATTTCTTTTGCGTTCATGGTGGATAAGGATGATTACAGGAGGGCAGTGACTCCATCTGAGTCAGCTTCTAAAACAAAACTGGAACCGAAAGCGAAAGTTAAACATATGATCGAGGTACGAGTGACTTTTTTCAACGCCTATATATAATCGAGAACTACGAAAACAATGTAAAATGGCTATTTTATTGTAGGCTCTGCAGAACGAGTTTCGTATGACCATCACTTGGTTGCCTATGGAGAACTTTTCTTGTGCGATGGTCACTGTGCGAGGGAGACAAAGTAACTTTGAGCGTATTCGTGAGGGTCTGCGTCGATTGACAGCTTTTCTGCGGCCTGGACAGCCACCGCCATACGTACACCTCGGCATCGAGGTATCTCCACACCATTTAAGCTTCGTGATGGGTGCTGGTGAAGTGAAAATGAAAACGCTGATGCAAGTCACGGGTACGGAGTTCATTATTCCCCCAATTAGATCTGACACGTCCCATCACATACCCACAGTGCGGATCTTCGGCGAAGTTGACAATGTTTACCAAGCGTGGCTAGCATTCATGGACCTTCTGCCGGTCGTCCTACATATCGATATACCAGATACGGTCGAAGTATGGCGTGGGCGAAATTTCGAGTACCGGGATCGTTCCGGCGAACACGTCCATGATACTGAGGCAATAAACAATGGGGAGCAATCGGCGCCATGGCCGTTATCTGGGCCGATTGGGGATCGTCGTCAACAACAACAGCATCGTCAACACCGTGCTTCCACGGATCACCTGCAAGAGCTTCGCGAATTCGTGTCGCCCGAAGTGCAGACCACAGTTGCCCTCAATGGAACGGAGTTGGACGGGGACACTGGGGTTTTGAATCCTGGTAAGAGAACTAAACATGGTTGCTAGTGGTGGAAACATCGCTTTTTTCTACAAGTATAGCACGTATTTCCGCAGAGCGTCGGCGCTTGTACCGTTGTACATCAGGCTTTTCAGTCGCATGTTAAAAAGTGAAACCTGACTAAAACTCATGTTAACCTTATGACAAGTGTGTTCGTCGTTCCGACTCTTCGGGCTCCGTCGGCTTGGCACCACCTCGGCGAATTTTTATCACGCACCCGGTTTATTCGACGTTTTAGCATTTCAATGTTTTTTTTTTTTTTTTTTTTTTATGTTCTGTACAGTTTTCCGCAGGTTGGCCACGTCGACAGACCACCTGAACTCAATGCTGCGCAGCTACGATATATCATTGATGTTACGGTTGGGTCGTGATTCGCGCCATTGGAGAATGGTGGCTAAGGGCCCTGAGAAACACGTCGACTTGCTCATCGACGTCTATCGAGCGATCAGGGATTCTAGCCACGATCCAATCGCTTCGATACGCAATGCACTCCTCGTAACACCGATGAAGTAAGTTGAACATTGAACGAAGCGGCAGACAAACGTCGCTAGCACCAAGTCAAAACGCGTTGTCTTAAGCTATTTTTCAAGCCGGGTGGTTAAGTTGAAAAAAAGTTGCTGTTTTTATCATTTAGATTTAGAGAATCTGTAGATTGTCCACATGAGTGGTAATCATATTCATATGAGACAAATAGTTAGCTATATACCATTAGATGCAAAAAGCTCCTGAATTACTATTATATACGGATTTAATCGTGCAAATCTTAATTCGAGCGGGTAACTCGAGCTATTATCGGTTGCTATTTCCATTGTTTTCCTTGGTATTGTCAGCTCTTACTGTATGGTCCTGTTAGAAGCCTCTGCAAGTGAACGACTGACGACATACTCCGAACACAGACTTTACCTTACCAAATCGTTTATATAGGAACAGAATTTCCTGTGATTATTCTAGCGAAAGCCGAAGTCTTACGACGCATTCGTGGTAGGACATCGGCATTCCTTATATTTGCAGAGGTTAGCAATGGGTATTTTGCAGGTATCTGCACAAACATTATAAGCTCTCTTGGTTATATACGATTCTATACGATGTTAATTTTGTGACAAAGCAGTGAATCTTATGATAGATTTATGACTGACGATGGTTCTACATGTATTAAAAATCAAATAATTGCCCTCAATAACAATTTCAAGGTAGATAAATGAACGCAGGGTCGCTCGCTCGCCCGCCTCTTGCTGAAGTTCCGAAGAATAATTTATTTAAATAAATTATTCTTCGGATAATGTAGATAATTTAATTAATATTAGTATATAATAATTAAGAAATAATTATAAATACTTAAATGGCCCGTGGGAGAGGATTGGTGACATCATGGCTTTAGAAAATGTAATTTCAGAAAACACTGATGTTTATCTTTGCAGCAGTTTTTCGTTGAACTCCCCCCCTGCCCATAGTTTTCCGGCGTTCTCCTCGTTAATTCGAAGTTCGAGTTTCAGCGATGCGCGAACGAACTCAGACGAGATACGCCTCAATAATGCTACTTGGTCTTCACGGTGTTCATCAACAGCGTCCTGCCACGGCCGATCGAACCACGATCTCGGATGTGTTCCCTGCGAAAGTAAGTCTACGTGGGTCCTGTTTTTGTTTGATTTACTTCGGGTGTTAGACAGGCACTAACGTGGAAATTTCTGGGCTTCGTTTGATTGCCGCGGCTGAAGTTTGGTATCGTTTCTAGAACTTCTTCATCGTCATAAATATGTCAAAAGTGTATTCCACAAAGGTTTCCAACACGTTAAATGGTCGTAGCTCGTTACTGGCGTTCAGGTGTGTCAGAACTTGGCCTGACTAACCACTTTAACATTACATTAAGTTAAACTATATTTAGCATTCCTATAGATCTTCGTTTCTTAACAATTTTCCTTCTTTTGTTCTTCTTCTTAACCACCAGATATGCGATTTTGGCTTGGCTTAGATAACTATTTGCAAATTTTATTTTTAATGAGTTCTTAATCTCATGAACCGAAATAAATTTATGATTGCAGTGCTGGGATCACAAGAAACTTGCGAAATGTTTGCAAAACTGCTCAAGATCAGTAGGGAACTGAGCAGTGAAGGTCCAGCGTTTGGTTACTATACGATTACCCCTTCGTCTGGTCTCAATGACGAACAGCGTCGTTCTAGCAGATTAGTTACAAATAACAATGGTTGGTATGAATCATTTTGACCTCTGTAAGTATTTACTTCAATAATCTTTATTAAATCATAGTATACAATACCCACTTGCTAACCTACCGAGATGCAAAATTCAATTTTTAACTAAAAGCTATAGGCAGATCATATACGAATTAAATCTAAATCGTGTTTTAAGAAGACAAAGTTGGTACATAGATTAGTAAATACATTAGGTTTTGTCTAGATAAGTCCACACATTTTGAAGGGCGGCACCTCGCGCCTTACGCACGTCACGATTTTTATCGTTCTACGTGATTCATTGTATGACGTTTACTTAGGTTTCGGTGTTGTGCTCAACGGTACAATGCGTGTGTGAATAAAATAATTCAATGTTACTTAATTTCCAGAAACGCTGTTTCCATCGACCCCATATCGTTACTCCATTGAGTACTTCAATCATTATTTTGGAGGACGGTATCCGTCTACCGGTTCCCGCAATGGTAGTAATTCCACGCTGCACCACGGGGGTGTCCACAACGCGAGCCCCGTATGTGTTCTTCAATTTTCCTCCAAAGAGAAAAATAATGAGGTTCAAAATGACGTCATTGTTTTCAGTTTTATAATTGGCGACCTAAAAAAATGCTCTTTAACAATCTCCGGTGCTAGTCAGGTATTATCCAGATTCAGAAACCCAACCCACGGTTGAAAGAACGATCATCGGTGTAGCCAACTGGGCGAGAAAACCTGCTTTTATCCACCCCTCACATTTAACAAGCTTTGTGTAATTACGTCCATAAGACAATTAAACGAAATACGTCATTCCCTAGTCTCTAGAAAATACCTCTGTATACAATCTTCGTACGTACAAACGAACCCCCCGAAGTCAGCGTTTTGGTTACCCATAATCTGCTACTGTTATAGAAAGGAAATGTAATCTTGTATTAAAGGTAATGTAATCAAGTATTAAAGTACAAATTAGTGAAGAACGTGGCTTCGGCAGATTGGGTCAGGGCTATCGATAGAGGTAACGAGCGCGCGCAAATTGCTAACCATTAACAGACTGTCACTGATATATTCTCTCGTAATTTTGGTTGTGTATAGGGTTTTCATCATTCTACCGGATCTGGATCCGAGTACTCGCCGTGGAACGGGGTATCGTCGTTTGACCTCTCTGTAAACAACGACTCTGCATCAAGAGGATTGTACTCCTATGGAGACTCACTGGGAGCTTCCGGTCGCGGCTCCATTTCATCATACTCGATGTTGTCACATAACGAGGTTAGGAATAGAGCAAAAAAATAAGGATTCATGGAAAAACATGGGGAGACTAGCGAGAGAAATGCAACTTCCGTGCGTCTGGCACAGCGCGGGATTTTATGTATGTTGAACTTGTTCAATAAATGTTGCCGTTTTTCTTTCAGGAAGCCGGAAGTGCACACCGTAGGACCAGTGAAACAATTTACAACCCGGCACGCCAAGGCTGTAGTGGAAATCTAGAAGTTTTCCCACATGATGGGCGAGGTGATTGCCCGACAGTCAAAGAGTTTGATGCAGCCCCTGGAGCTGGCAGAGACCATCGCTAAATGTAGCTGACGCTGGGCCAGTGACGAACGTGCAAACATACATACATATGAAACGTACGAAGCTGGTCGTCGAATGTGTGAGTTCGCAAAGGAAATCTTGTGGAACCCCAGATTATCCTGGAACCCCAGATTATCCTTACACATCCTTCGCGCATCGACCGCACTCACCTCTACACTGCTATTTCCATAGCCCACGAGACAATCTTTTTGATAATTTAATTATTTTTGTTACTTAACATTCACCTACATAACCCTGCCGACAGAACCGACTACCAATGATTAAGGAAAGAGATCTCAGAGAAGTGAACCAAAACACGGCCTGACCAAGTATTTAGTATATTTATATTATTGTGGTAACGTAAACAGACAATTTGAACTATATATATGCCTCTTCGGTATTTAAACACAACAACAAGCCCTTGTGAATGATTCCAACAATTCTATATAAATAGGGGCAAACGAGTACAGATGACGTAACATCATAGATGATTAATTATGTAACAAGGGACTGCAGCGTTTCAGGAGCTACCTCCCAAAAACCAAACAAAAACCTCAGATGGCCAGAACTTCTTTCAAAAATCTTCGGAAATTCCTTCGAGCTTTAAAGCTTAAGAAAAAAGTGAACAATTTGTAGAGCGGACCTCCTTCAAGGGAAACACGGCTTTGCGAGTATTTATACCTTGGGAAAGAAATAGGCATAGCCCAGAAAGATGAAGGCCAACATACAGGCATGAACAGAATATAACTTACATAACGATATTCATCGTTACTACTCAGCGACAAATTGCTATAGCAACAAAGGCATAATCATTTGGACATTACATTAGTATACGATTGCTTATTCCACGATATCTGCCGATTTAACCTGATGTGACCCGATAAAGCGATGCAATACCAACACGAAAAAGACGAAGATGTCAGTCGTATACAAATTTCAACAGCAATTATAACGCCAATTGCAAAAAACAAAACAAATCTAACTTAACTACCAAAACTTAATCAGGACAATTGGACCGGGAAACGTACAGGACCATTTTACGACAGGAACAAATAAAGATGGCATACGTTCAGCGTTTATTCGTTTTAAGAAAGTTTCCTAACGTTTATGCTACATTCTCAGTCGTAGTGCACAATGTATTACGGCTGGAAAAGTAAAAAAATAAAGACATTCGATTATATACTTAAGCGCGAAAGAGCTCGTATTTTTTTAGTTCAGTTACAGCCCCGACAAACATTATCCCCGATTAACGCGTTTAGAAATTTCTCGAGCGAAGTGGTTTTCTATCCGGACGTCGGATTTTCAGCGTTGCACATAATGGTGGATGCTTCGTTCTACGGTAGAGTCATCATGTCACACTCGTGTCAATCTTACAAAAGCAAAATTTGTACTATATAAAGCTAGATTTCGAAACGGCATCTGAACGTAACCGTATGACAGAAAAAGAGCACTGCATAGAAGCTTCATGTTTGAATTCAGGTAGCGATTATTACCTATATAGCAGTTCTAGTATGTAATTAATAAAATGCTTGTAAATTATGGTCATATGGTGGAAAATCGGCGACGTGCGATATATACAAATAGATAGACTGTACATACGGCGCAAATAGGTATCTGTTTGTGGGAGATATTTAGGTGTCATCCTAGATACACGTCAGATTATCGAAATAAGATGTTTAATATATATATATATATATATATATTTAATATATTTAGAGATAATTATATAGTCTAGTGCCGTAATAATAGCCATGTTATTACTCGACCTTATATGATAAGAAATATAGGAGTTAATCATTTATCCATCCTACGGCTAGGCTATACCTTCTGGCTTCGCACGGCTAAAAGTGAGTGAAATTACCCTACAGCTTTTCAGATAGAGGAACGCCAAGGGGCTTTTACACTGTTGCTTTTTCCCGTTAACAGATATGGAAAGAGCTCTGACTAGCAGGATCCCGTCAAAGACCAGCGGGAAACTTTGGCTACAAATTTGGTTGCCAGCTAATTTTTCCGCTGTGTTTGAGGGCGCCGTTTTTAGAGAACAATCGATCATAGAGACCTGTAGGTCGGCATCATTGGTTTTCGAATCGACGCAGAAGGGGCGCGCACTAGGGCTTTTTCATCGAGCTCCTGCAGTTGAAGCAATAGCCGTTGTAAACATCCCTTAAAACCACTGCCGCGACAACCATCACCAAATAAAACACAAAAATATAGAAGTAGGATAAAAAAACAATCACCACGATAAATTGCTGACTTCAGGCGGTGCTGTGTTTCCTTCTATACGAGTCTTCCACGATTTTCATGGCTCTCTCGTGTTACTGTTAGATCGAAACAATCGAAAGATTCGAAAATGGTTCACTATCTGGAGGTCAGAATGGTGAAGAAGCAGTCTTCAAGTGTGTTTCTATTTTCATTCAAAGTACTCTTAATAAAAACGTTGGTTGAGATCTATTGGGACTGCCCTGCGGATGTACTCGCTGTGATCTGTCTCATGTAATTATGGCTACGTTGGCATCTGTTGACACACGCGCCCGGCAGGAAAATTCAAGGACGGTTGCTGTTTAGTCGTTAGTCTACGAATATATGATAGAAAAAATGGTCTGTGTTTCTTGTAGCTTTATAATTTCGTGCATTTCTCTATAAGATTCATCCATTGTCTAAATCGAGGTGCCTGTAACCGCATATAGACATAATTACTGCTGTAATCATTTCACCAATCATCGAAAATACGTCCCTATTGAACATTTTTCTTTGTGTTTTTGTTTTCGGCTGATCGGTTAGTAACTTGAGCTGTATGTGTGTGTCTGTGTGTCTGTATATAACTTAAAGCGTGTATTCCCATTTAAGAAACTAAACTAGGAAGTATTCCAAATAGATAGGCAATGTTTAATTTAGCTTTGGGTGGACCTATTTCCGCATGTCAAATGGTGCTCAATAGAGAGAGGCAATCTTTTCGTTGTAAACGTGTCACACCGGTGAGCAGTACCGCCTTACATAGCCTAATAGCATAATCAATTTTGTAACCGTCGAAATATAATTATTTCATACTCGGCTTTGTACAAACGCATGCGCGCTTATGAAACATTTTCGGTACCTACCTGTAAGAAATTACGCACGAAAAATTGCAATCACTCCACCTTGTTTTTCCGTTCACCTACGAGCAAGGAATGTGATATTTCCCTTCATTAGAACAGTTATAAATTTTTGCGTCCTAAGAAAGACACATGATTTGGTTAATTTTTATAAAAATAAATAAACTGTTTATTATTGACGTTCGTGATGCTCGGCTGGTTCGGTACCAGTTAGCGTGAATAGATCAAAGCGGGTGACCAACACCAGTACGCACCCATAGTAGGGTCTTTCAAACTAAAAGATTGCAAGCACTCAGTGCCCACACACGCATCACATCTGCTAACCAGCTCTCGAAAGAGCATCATTCAACATTCGTTAACAGCCTTAGTATATTTCCAAATAGAAGAATAGTGTTTTTGGTCTACTATACACAAATGCGAAATTTCTTTTAGCAGACGTTAAGGTCTCTTTAGCTTGACGCCTACCACACAGAATTATACTGTATGCTACTTTTTGTACCGTTTTCACGGGAGATGTAACGTTGTGTAGTATATTTATCGAATTTATTGTTGAAAGTAGTTCCAACGAACTTCGTCTTCCGTTATTTGACTATTTTATGTGATCCTTGAAGGGAGTTCAAACTCTATAAACAATAAGGGAGGGCACGGAGCAACAAAGGGGACAATAGAAAGCAAAGGAACCCTACCGAATAAAGTTTTCTAAGTTTATCTTCTTGAGCCCCACCATGATCGCCTCATCTGTGCGCCAGTATGCAACAGGGAACTGTTGTTAGCGTGCTTCCTATAGCAGGAACTGCGCGTCTATGATGTCACGCATCAGCAAGTCGACCGTTCTTCTAATAACGACTGTCTGTATTGTGTGGGTGTATGTATTGTCCTAGGAACTGTATTTGGCCACGGAACCAGCTGGCCTACCACTATGGCAGTTGACAGGGTCGAAGCCGCTAGCTTAGGACACACAGTGCCAGTTTAGATGCTACTAGTACCTGTGGCTCATCCGGCAGCTGTTCTCGTAGCAAAGTATTGCTTTGAAAGTTTATTTTAAGGCTGGCGCAACAAGTACTCGGGACAGAACACTGCAATTTGCATGTAAGCTGTTTGTGAAGCTAGAACAGGCCTTTTCAGCCGAACCCTTTTCGTCGAGTGGAGATTAGGGAAGAATTGCGAGTGGCTTATGGTTAAAAGGATGAACACATAGGCCATGAGAAAAAGCTGGAATCTTCTTCAAAGAACGAAGATCAGTGAAGTAAAGGGAACTAATTGCATATCGGCTGTCGTTTTATTACCGTTCGCTCAAACCGTAAAGTTGTTTGACACCACCTGTTCATGTGTTAGCTAACTGAACGTTAATTAAGAAGTGTACAATGCTTTAGAGACCAATAGACCTATGAAAGTTTTAATCACCGACTTCTTTTAGGAAATATAATATGTGATATAGTATACTACTAGTATTTTGAGTTTACAAATAAATTCCCAGCCCTCTTATCCAACGCTCAACAACTGTAAGACCTTGCTTATCGAAACAAACGCCAACATGATCTATCATTTTTTTGTTAGGCCGACAGATTTTGCTAGAATAGAATCCCAAAATAGTCGAAAACTCGTATTTTGACTTTTCCAATTTCCAAGAACCGTTTTCCGGTCAATAGATTTTGTCTCGATAAAAGTAAGTGCTCGTTTGCGGGAGTTGATTCTAGCGAATGAACCGCAAAAAGAAAGTGTTCCCGTCAAACTGAACCACGTTTCCCTGCACCCTTCAAAAGCTATATAGGATGAGCGTTGTCGTGCAACAGAATCACTCTGCGACTGCTCTGACCGATAAACGATCTTTTTTCAGTTGAACTTCTCAATCTAGCTAGCTAGCTAGCTGGTATTCATATCATTGCGTAATAACCGTTGCAGAAGAATCTGGAAACTCAAAAAATAGCTTTCTTTTTTTTCTAGGTTCCACCAAACGCACAAAGAACCTTCTATCTACCAAGATCTTTCAGGCTAAACCCATAGCATTTTGAACTTTGAATTAGAGTATTGGCCTTACACTCCATCTCCGATAAGCATTTGATACAAATAAAAATCTAACCCCCTTAATGAAACGAGGGGGTGCAATGTTATGCCTCTTTAGTCAGTTTGAGGAAACTTGTCCTTTCACATTTTTCATCTGCCTTATAGCATGTAGATCATTTCACCAACATTTGTTTGCGGGCAATACTTTAAGTGATTCATTTAGATATCAATTTTGTTTCCGCCAGACAAACAATATCTGCGTCAGCAGACATACAATTGCCAGTAGCTACGAGTCAGACTAATAGGCGGGGCACATTTTGAAGTTCTACCTCCTTCAGAGTGGAAGTATTGAAAGGGTCTAAATTTAAGTTTAGAATTTAGCTGTAATAGACTATAAGAGCGAACTAATATTTTTTTATATTGAGTGACAATAGCAAAGATCTATTTACTGAAGTTCTATATTGTAATGTTAATTCGATAGATGCTGCATCACTGCATTTTCTAGTTATAAGGTATCGAGACTCGTTTTCGTTTCTTTCTTTCAAGGTAATATCCGACCATAAGAAGTAATAAAGATGACCGCTTCTAGCGGATCATCCGTCTCGTCCATTGCCTATGAAATTCAAAACATAAATGACCAATAACTTAAGTTGATTTATAGCAATAGAGCGCATGCATCGCTTACGGTCGTCACAGATAGATACTGTTCAAAACGTAGTACTATTACCAATTGCGCTACCTCGCGTATAGTTGGCCTTTATCGTGAGCTCTCGTCATCTGGCATTTACGGACGGCAGCTGCAGGGCCGTACTCTGAGCGTTATCTTCAGACCCTCCAGGTACTGTGTAACCAGATGGCTAAACACAATAGACACAAACGTTTCTGATAGTTTTCTGTGCCATGTGCCAGCCAATACATTATTTTAAAGACGAATCAAGCTAGTGTGCAGAACAAATCTAGATTTATTCTAAAATTGTTAGAGAATATGTGTTTTTTGAGTGGAACGTCAAGGAGTCTTCGAATAACATAGCTAGCATTTAGATCATACCTTTACTAAC